TGGTTTCAATACAGGTTACAAAATTGTATCCTCCCAATTAAAAACTATTTAAATACTATTGGGATGTCAAATGACAATATCTGTAATATGTGTAAAATACAAATAGAAACTACAGAACATCTATTCTGGGAATGTCCACAGTCATTAAAGCTATGGCAAGATTTAAAAGAGAGAATATTTAGCAGAATAAGGAAAATTATTGATTTTAAGTTGGAATTACTGAGAATGCTCCTATGCCCATTAACTATATTATTTTGTATACAAAATATTATATATATATTTCTGGTGCTTATAAGTTAAGTTTAAATGGTTTGAATGAATTTCTTGCATTCATATATAATATTGAGAAAGCTTTATCAGTAAAAAAAATATACAATGAAACATTTGATCAAAGATGGATGGAATGGAAGGATTTATTTTGAGAAATTTGTGTATACTACAATTTACCTTTTTGTTGATTGATATTTCTCTCTCCAAAAACAAACATAATACGGGTAAGTAGAGTGCATGAACATTATATGTATTTTCTTGTGCTTATATGGATACATGCAATAATCGGCATGGTTGTTTGTATTTACATGCATGTGTACGTATGTAAGTGCATGCATACTTGCTGATGTTAGTGTGTATGTACAGGCATGTGTATGCATGTATGTATATACATATATAGATCGTAGAGTGTATGTTATGTACGTATGTATATGTGCATGTATGTGTGTGTGTATAAGTGTTTTGTTTATGTTTAGTGATTATGGTACTGATGTATATGTAAACACGTCTGGATGTGTGTGCTGTGTGTGAAATGTGATAGTATGTTCTTGTTCCGTAGATGTCCAATACTCTATGCACAAGTGTTTTATTTCCCAATCAAATTTCTGAATGTTATATGGATGAAAAAATGTTATGAAATTGAAATATTTGAATTAAGATAAAATTAGCAGAGAAAAATGTATGAGAGCCCTCCTGTGTGAGGACACCATATTGTTTAGGGGACTGACTCCAGGGCTACCCAACCCTGGCAGTTCCTATGAAGTTATTTATATATATATCTGTATATACTTATCAGTATTATATATATATGTATAATATTTGGCTGGGGGAAGTAAAATATTTGAAAATAAAATAAAAAATAAAAATAAAAAAATGCCGCCATATTGTTTATATTTGAGACATCAAACGCAATCATATTGCAGCAAATTAGAAAACAGTAAGTCACAAAATAAAAAGTGTGTACTCTGCACCTATGTAGTTTTTTCTCTCCAACTGTTGCTATGGCGTAATACAAAAATACACCAAGCTAATAGAACGTCTTGACTACCTCTGACTATGAACTTGTATCAAGATTTATACAATTTCTAAAATTATGAACGTAGTATTTGTTGAAATTCGTTGGAATTATAATATCACAATCGATTTTATTTTCATGTGTATACTGGCGATTAGAAAATGAAATTGTCTTTAAACTATCGGTTTAGCCACTTACAACAACATTCTGTCAATACAATATAATAATATGTCATACATTCCTTTATTTAGGTGACGGATTAACAGTCTAATCCTGAGGGATGAAGGGAGTAGCTCACACTTTGAAAACAGGCGATAGACATTTATTATTATGCAGCCATATAAACGCCATATGATGAAAGTAATTCCAATAAAGTTTAAATAATTTCCCTATGAAAACAAACAATTGTGTTCCCTCATCATCTACTTTATTTTTATAAAGCATCTCTTAGACACTTTCCGCCCATGGAAAGTATTTTTAGCCAATTTTGGTGTTAAGAAATACATTGTTTGATTTTCAGTCAATTCGATCCTTTGCTTTAGTCCTGCTCCTCAGGCCTATGGGTGAGTCAGGGTTCTAATTGCCATATCATCAAACTTACATCCCGTGATATTAATTCAGATTAAGAATGTAATTGAAATATACAATATATAAAATGTGCAACCTAATAACAAGTGTTTTACTGTAAATTGGCAGTGACGTAATATGTTGGTCTTACCGCTGCGAAAAACAAGAATGGACAATGCCTGATTGACCCATCTAGAGACGGACAACAACCTCGTCTCGACGGTTTTATCTTTAGTTGGGACACTATATTTTTTTAGGTTGTTAGTCTACCGTATGCTACCGTGTAAGCTCGAGATTATAGATTAAACTGTTGTATATTGTATAGGTACTTCACCCTGAGGCTAACGCTTGAGACTCGGAGACTCTGAAGTACTTGGTTCCAATGTACCATCCAACACTAGAACGCAATAATACATTTCATATTTGCAACAGGCATTGACTTAAAAGTGCGAAGCTTTAAAAAATATAAACATATCAATACCAATATTGTCAGTTCGCCCGTGCGAACCAGACATTATCAATTGGTGTTCCAAACTGATGATAAAATGTCGAACATGCTTTACATCAAGTCCGGATGCAATAGTTTATATACGTGTATGTTGTCACTGTATGGGCTACTTTTCGTATGTAAAAATAAAATTTTGCATAGAAGCGTCACACATTTTGGCATTTGATTGATCAATATTATTCTATAACTTTGCAATATTACTGAATTTGATTGTGTAATAGAGGTAAGTAGTTGTTCAATGTCTCTGCTATAGGTCGAACCTGGGACCTCTGATTTACTTATCTTATGCTCTACCGAATAAACTAGATACTGTATTTCCCTAGCCTTGCTTCATGTATCATCTTCCTTCAGGAAATAACCCGTTCCGAGTTGTCCAGGGGTCATAAAAAGCGATTCTTGTAAAAGTATCGCGAAATGCTTATGTCCAAATTCCCTTGGTCCTTACGTAGGCCCAATTGTAAAACAGCTGTCACATCAGGGATGCGTGCTCACGGCGATCCGACAGAGTCCATGAAATATGCGAACACCGAGGTGCGCACAGTAGAGTATCCTACATCACTGCAGCAACGCGATGGCATCTCCATTTGATGGGGTGGGGTCGCTTAGAACACTATGAGCATGCACAAAGTATCCACCACAGCTCTGCGTTCTGACATGCGCGCAGTAGAAACTACGTAGGGTCGTCGTTGTAGGGTAAGGTATCATACATCGCCACAGGAGCTATGTGAGCGCGCATCAAGGCCGCACATGATCGCGAAACGAACGTTGTGGTTGTCGGCGGTGCTTGCACGGATACCTCAGTAAGTACTTAGTGATGTCACTGTGTTTATACCGCGTCCTTATCGCGCTTACGGTGCTTACAGGGAGTGCTATTTATTTTGCTGCTCTCTTACATCGACAACACGGAGCAGTCACGGCGATAATTTCGCTTCCATGGCGCATCTACCGCGTCCTTCAGTGTTGGCATGACGTTGCTAGTGTGTTGAGAGCCAACCCCATAAAAATGGTATTTGCCTACCTCTGTGGCTAGGTGGAAGGCCTGTATGACGTAGACATGTTGGGTGGCCTGCTTGCTTGGGAGGTCGCATGTGACTCCCCCCCTGCTTGATGAGGCGATAGCGGTGGACTAGGATCCTTAGTTTTCTTCTTCCTTCTGCCTTTAGTACCCCTCATGTCGGTCATGATGCTTTTTAACCTTGACGTGCGACGAGCGAAATATTCAACTGATGGTGGTGTTTGTATACAACTCGGGCCCGCAATACGAACGTTTTGGGCACGCCGTCAGCACAGTATACGCGCCGTTGACGCACAGTGACAAATCCTAGCACGCCAACTACAGCTCCATTGGAACGCAACGTCACGCCACGGGTGCTCCGTAGAAACTCCGTATTTGCCGTAAGGACGCTGTGACATCTACATCTTGTGAACATTTTAAATATAAGTGTAACGTTTTTCAGAGTTTTCCTCTGATCCCGCGTCGCTCTGAGAAATTCCACAACACCTTGTATACTCCATGGAAACCGCATCGTACAAGCCCCGCACATGCTATACAATTTATCCTTTTACACTTGTTGCAAAATAAGGGTCGAATTTATTATCTTTTGGTTGGTGTTTCGTGTACCATAATGCATCAAAATATTGACATGTAACAAGATAAATGCCTTCGAACTACCATGGATTTTTTTTTTATCCTATTGAGTAAAAATGGAAAAAGATTTTGCTTGCATATGCTCTACGTCACTAACAAGAGAAAAGGAACAATGTGCTGAGGACACAGTTTTGGTTAGAAATGTGATCATAATTCTGTTTATTGTTAGTTGTTATATTGTATGAATGTGTGTGAAAAAGAGGGAACATATTTCTCTAGACAATCCAAGACATCAAACATTAACAAAGGGCCGTAACTCCGTGTATGGTAGGGTACAATACCCGACCTGGTATGTGCAACTTAACCTTCTCCAGAAATAAACCTATAACGTGTCTGCTTATGACTGTAGGTGAAATAACAAAGAACATACGGTAGTTACAACATTTTGGTACTTATGAACGCTGTCTCTACCAGACAGAATAATACCATAGTACGGCACTTACCCCTTTATAATCATACGTAAAACAAATTGACAATGATTGGGACGTCATGTACATGTGTTGCCTACTAATGCTGTTCTAACTTTTTATCGTCCGCCATCTTGCAGGACATGTTATATGATAACCCTTATCTAAAAAGGACATCACATACAAGCAAATGCAGACAGTGTGGATTTACCACGTTTCCAGTTAACACCTAAAAAACAATGGTCTGAGTAAAACTGGAATGTGTATTTCCATGACTCAATAACAAAAGAACACATAACTACAAAGTATGATACTGTAGGAGTACTTTTTGTTCGGTTTTGCAGATCATTAAAATTCAGTGATAGCGTTAAGTAAAGTAGCAAGATAGGTTTTTATCACTTTGTTGCGTACACGCGTGTTACCATTATAATGTTTCGCTAGGGTGTCCGTGGAGCCAGGGAGCTACGCTCTTATAAATCTGTCAATACTTAATAATTCCCTTTGCTAAATTAACCTATAACCATAATCGCACATAGGTGACTGATATCAACAAATTCTACACAGACAGAACGAAGCACAACCTACCTGTCGATGATTGGATTGTAAGGAGTAAGATGAACAAGTAGAAGCAGAATTCACGGTGAGAAACAACAACAACTTGTTTTTGTAGGTGAATGTCAGACATCATGCCGTTCATTATGTTTAAGTTCATGTACAGTTTTTACAAGCTTCCTGGTCTAAACATACTGGTATATAATAGTAAATATACAGGGCGAATGTAAACATTATATGTTATACTGGTGACGCCATACCCATCTATAAATAGTAAGTATCTCGATTCATCATAACCGTACAGTACTTACCGGCCGACACTACATGTACCTCTGCTCGCTATACACAATACACAATGTATCGTACAAAAATGAATGGCACTAGCTACAATTCATTGACCGCTTTTGTTATTTGTATAAAATGTTGGCATTAACATTTATATTTAAGCATCATTTTGCATATGCATTTTTGTATAACAACAATATTTTGAACTTTCTGATGAATTAGAAGACACGGTAACGAAACTATATCAGTTGGTAAATGTAACAACTCATTATACTAGTATGCGTCTATCGATATTGGCTTGGTATACTTAACAATTGTCTTGGGTAAGTATAGTTTAAAGCATTATCTGATGTAGGAATTGTTGATATGTATAAGACCGATTTCCTTGAAATGATTGGTTGTTATCTAGATCAACGTATAGAGTATGAAATCACATGTTACATGTACACTTAATGCAAAATGGAGATAGAAAACAATTATCATGGAAAAAAGATACTGTTCCTGTTTTGATATTGTAGTAATCCTGTTTGTCAGTGAGGTGATTACTACTATGTTACGGTCGGCGCTGTTCGAATGTAACAGTACTTAGTTCTTGTAAACATACATAATAGTTTTGTTGTACTGTGTATTCATTATAGATATATCAAAAGGCAACACGTTAACTGGCACAAGTTAGAGTATGCAGACTGTGACAAAGGTTGTTCATACAGAATAGTTTTGCTGCACTGTAGATATGAAATGAAAACCGAAAAAAGTTCCAGCATGTAGGATTTGACAAAGTTTGTACAGTATTTTCATTGCACAACGCTGACATCACTTGCGTTAAAATATTACTATACATAATGATGTTTGTTTTGTTTTTGTGTAACGTCTTATTAACAGTTAATGTCATTTAAGGACGTGCCCCCGTGTATGTTGTAGATGCGTGCATGCGTGTATGGGTGCCAGAGACAAGATATATTGATGTATTTGCCTCTTTGTGATAGTGCGGATCTGATGTCGACTTTATAGTACTGTCTCACTGAAATACCATGCCAAAGGCACATATCACAGCATTCCGCCCGGTCGCATTATACTGACAACGGGTGAACCAGTTGTTGGTATTGCCCCTAATACTGAACGTTGAGGTGAGCAGTGAATAACGACTAACATTTTTAAGGAATTTGGTTTGTCCCGGCCAAGGTACAAAACCAATGGCAGTCATCACCTTAGCGATCGTTCAAAATTAAAGCCAAAAGTGAGGTATTGCAAAGATAGGCGCTAAGAAATAAAAGGTAGTTAGATGTAGAAAGAAATATAAATACCCAAACTATTGCAAATGGTGCAGCAGATTTATGTTAATCGCCTTTGTGTCCCCAAGTGGGGAACACCAAGACGAATCTCCAATCATGCAGTGGGGTTCCCACATTAATCGCCTCATACGATACATGCAGTGTGTAACAATGGGTGTCACTCCCCGACATGCAGGGGACAGATAATTATGTAATCGGTATGTCCGTAAATAACTCACATAACATACCCCGTTTTAACGAGTTGCGAGAGTTTATGACAGCAACATATGTAAAATTATGAATCAATTATGTTTCATAATTACACAAAACCGTTACATGTGCATCCTTACTTCATGCTCCGTTGTTCTGTAAAGATGCTAAATAAAACAAAGAAAACAGCTGCATAGATTTTGTCATCAGATAACGACATGACTTGTTTCTGCTTGATGCGTTGCAAGTCACAGTTCCCGGCAACCATGAGAGACGAACACGCATGTGGCATTGCAGAGGGTGCAGGTCAACCTTACAAAATGCAGCTGGCATTCCATAGTTAGATGTATTTTAATCGATATAAGGGTTGATAAATGTGTGTAGTATCTTGGTTATTATTTGTTATAGGTGAAGCAAAACTGATTAGTTGACAAAGACATGATTAAACTACCTGCCATTGTGATAGGCGTCAGGAGAGAGATCAACTGCCGCCAAATGCTAATAGCTCGTCGCGTGTTATTAAAACCATTTCCAATCACATCGAATAACGATATTAACTTAACGATTTAAAGAGTGTTTCCCTTTTCACATTTTCGACTTGGAAAAGTATGAAATAGTCCAAACCAGTCAACATTAATACATATGGCACCCAAGTAAAATATTTTGATAAATTTAATGAAAAAAAATAACATTAGTGTTAATGTTTTCCTATATTGTCAGTGTATTTTACAAAAGAGCATTAAGGCCACGTTGGAAAAAAATAAATTTGCGTTTTTTTCGTATTAGTCACTTTAAATTTCGACTTAATCACTTTGTCGAAAATCATATAACAAATAGAGGATACATTCCATAGAAACGTTTAATTGAAGGTAGGGTTGCAAAAAGAACCAGAACAAAATACAATAGAAGAAATATGGTAAAAATATCGTTTATAAGTGTGTATCATTTACGGAAATTTCCAACACGCATTTTTCTGTCAACTGATGTTGAAATATACGGCAAGCCTGTAAGCAAAAGTAGCGTTTACTTTTTTCGTTTATCGCTAAGCGTGTTTATATCAAAAGTAGTCTAGTATCAGTGTCACTGCATCAAATACGTTAATTGTGGTATAAAACAAATACAACATGTGGAACCTAAATTGGCAGAAGGTTCGTATTATAACAATTGTGACGTCACAACTTGTTGCCTCACATACTCATATATACATTATTGATATCGATAAATAGCTTAACGTTCTGTTCATGGTTAAAAAGGTGAAACATCAGGTCAAATTGCAAATTTCGTTACAGTCATCGAGGTGTGACATGTAAGTATGAATACAATTAAGCAGTTTCTGTCTGTAACTAGTCATAAATCAGCATGCGGTGATAAATGATAATAACTATAAAAGAGGCAATATAACTCTAGTATTCGTCTGGGAAAATTAGTGTTGGTTTGATGCATTAACATTTTTTTCATTCATGAGTGGCGATGCATGAATAGATTTTTAAATACTGTAGCAAGCACCTGCAAAAAGATAATACAACGGTCATCAGCTCCAACATGTCCTGATATTTTTTATCAAAATCTGAAAATATAGAAATATAACAGCAATTTTCATATTTCATATACTTTTACTTTCTGTTTCTTTTATTTGCCTTAGAAACATATGTTTAATGTCCATCTCATTCTCGCTAGAATACGTGAAAGGAGGTTTTGTACTTCGTATTTCGTACTGATATTTTTCTTTCAATAAAACAGACGCAAAAGCCGTGAAGATACTTCCGGACGAAACAAGAAAATGCACCAAATCTGCTCGACACCAAATCTTTTAATTAAAGTCACTACCTACCAGATGCATACTTTAATTTATTCTTCGAATAGTATTGTTAACAAAATATTTTATTCACGCTTAGTATCCTCACATGTTGCACTATTGCCACTCAATAATTATTCCAAGGCACGGAAATGCACATTTTTTACTCCACGTTTTAAACAGTCAGTTTCATTGTTTTGTAATGTTGCATATTGATACACATTTGCTAATATTTGTCATGTTAGCCTTTTATCTTGTACTATATTTATTCTGTAGATCAAAAGAGGAATACTACAATGTCTATCCATACGAGTGATATATATGACATTCAACGGGAAAACAGTTACATTTTCTGTTAATTACATATTAAAAGCATTCCATGTCACAGATGTTGCTAAATCAGAAAAGTGTGGGAATTTGATTGCTGCTTTTATCTGCAGAGGTTTTGAAACAAAATTGTAACAATTGTGTAGTTATGTAAGTACAATCATTTATGTTGCATAAAATAACGCATAAATCCTGGTGTATTGTAAACTAGGAATATATATATTGTTAACATATGTGAATCAATCTGGTTAGTTAAGATGGACAATGCACAAGGATCATAATTTTAAAGATAAACAAACAAAAAATAAAACCATAAAGAGCGAAGAGATTTTGGCTCATATAGCGTTCGATAAAAGCATCTCATTTTTAACAGAGAAGTTAAAATTGGTATTACTTTTTTTAGTTGTTTGAGTGAATTTTGAAGTGAATGAGTTGAATGAGTTGATGAGTTTTGTGAGTGAGTTTTGTGAGTGAGCGATCGCGTTTTGTGAGTGAGCGAGTGTGAGGGTTTTGCAGTGATAAACTTATGTGAGCGAATTAAATTTGTGAGTGAGCGAGCGGGCTTTATGATGGAGTTTTACGAGTGAGTGAATTTTGGAAATGAGTTTTGTGAACAAGTTTTGTGAATAATTGAGTTTTACGAGGGAGGGAGAGAGGGAGGGAGAGAAGGATGGAGCGAGTGAATGATAGCTTTGTTTTAGGAATCAAAGGACCAACTTCTTCAAACGGCATCATCACAATTGTATCACCAAATAGTGCATCACAAGATATTTGAATAACCGAATCAAATGATCAAATACGCCTCAACCGCATATTTAGAAATTTCAAAATATACTTCGAAAGCAACCTTGTTTCAGATCCCAAAATATTGTGTATATGGTTAAAGAATCGAAGTTAGACCACTGGGATTAGAGCAAACAACCCGCGGATAATCCAGATTGGACGAGAGTATTTCTGTAGCAAATGTATTTCTGTATGAAGGTTGAGAATTTCCAGTGTCTGTGTTACACAAAGCCAATGACTTAAAACCTAATGGTGATCCAGGAAAGAAGACATCAGGGGCCAATCTGTTAACCCTGGTAGTACAATTGTGTTTGTCTCTTAATACATAGCAATTGTATATTGTGAAAAGAAGAAGAAATGTCAACATCCTCCCTCTTATGACTAAAGTTCTAAGTCACCAGGTGCAATGCTGCCACAAGAACCAAAACCATCATCTCTGTATGCCTATCGATTGTATATATGATTATAGGGTAGGGATCACACGACTGTCCTTGCATTCATACATGATTTCTCAAAACGGGCGAGGCAAGTCCTGAAGCAAGTTTTTTGTGGAATGATTGTCTTTGTCTCTTCAAACAATTATATATACTAAGATTGCATGATGGTCTCAAGCAATTACTTTTGGGACTCATAAAGTAAGCCCATCAGGAGTGGGACCGGGCCCGTGAGCTTATCCTAGTAGCATGGCTGTATTTATATCGTAATGCCCAACAAAAAAATATTGGTCTTAGGATACATTTAAGTGATAAGTACATGATCGAATTGGGTAGTGTTGTCTAAGCAACCACGTTTGGTGTTGAAATTAAAACAGCAACGATAAAAAAAATAATGTCCTTATTTGGTACTTGGTATTCGATATAAAATGAATTACAACTGTTAACGTGATTATTAGCGAGTGTGTGCATTCTGGTACTTCTTTCTTTTGCTGGATGAGAACAAAACAATGTCTTTGACTAATTAGGTATCAAAGTATTTTATCAACATGATGGTGTATATAACTGTCAGAGTATTTTATCTACCCGATGACGTATTATCATCCATTTATGGAAATTTGTGCATGACTATGGCCAGTAGACATATGAACACCGGTCTTCTAATATTACATGTTTACTATGCTACGCTTAAACACCAAATTATTTTATATAAATACGACCACATGTACACTAATATGTAAATTTATTACGAACACTACACATATGAATACAACAATTAGCCTATAGAACAGCCATAACTAAATATTTCCTTGTATATATACTGAAGGGTTTCGCTGAGTTATATCCGTTCAAGTCAAGTACCTGTTGAGTAGTGTTGATCGTTTTGACTTGTAGGACAGTGGATGAATATGACGATGTTCGTGTACAATGATGTGACTTTGCCCGAAATAAGGACACACTAAACATGCACTATATTCTGCTGTTTTATTACTCGTGCTTAGCATCGGACATACTACAGCACGTATTTGTAGTAAATTAACAAACTCACCCGGGAATAACTATAGATTGTGTGTTTGTGTCATTAACATACTACAAACAAGGATATACTTATTGATACCAATTGTGGTCCCTTGCTTTACTTCGGCAATCAATTGTATTGATTAAAATTTCCTGTGTACTGGTATGGTTGAATGTGTTACTTTGCTAATACTCACGGCAACACCGGTTTGAATTGCCGTCTTTGCATCAGGGTGGGGAAGGGGACCGAGGGTAGCATACAAGTAACACAGTTAGCTTCTCTGATACTTTACAAAGTAGAATATCACGCTTTACATTTATTTTTTATTTTTCTATCACAAAGTGGTTGGATATATGGATAAATAATAACAAACAAATTGTGATTCAAACTGTTCCTGCAGGACTGTTTATATTTGAGTATCAATTAACAAAAGCTTATTTGTGTTATTTTTAGGAATGAACGAAGCAATAAATGGAGGGAACGATATTAAATAATTGTCGTACGTGTGAGTTAAAAACGTATGAACGTTCAGAAGTATTTCGTAGGAGTTAACCGCCTATGAAAAAGCGTAGTACTAACCAGATCTTTTTCTTTAGAGGATAACGATTCTTGAAATAATGTAACATGCACTTTCAAACAGATGCCTTGACCTTATGCCTAAATCATTGGATGGAGATCAGCTCTACTGGAACCAACCTTAAAGTCTACCCGCTGTGAAAACCTCAAAAGACAAAGGGTATGGAGACAAATCCGAAGACTGGGAATGTGTCGGGACTCGGATGCGATATATGTCCGGGATCAGGTCCTGATAACGAGTCGGACATCAGAATTATGAATCGCGGCACACCGTGCTTCATGTGTGATAAGTTGGTAATTAATTTTCATGAACACAATTGTTTCTGTACATCTTGTTAATTGAGACTCATCACACGAGTTTTTGCGGCCGTTATATAAAAAAATTAGCAGGTCATATAACTAAGCAAAAAAAATCAATTTGTTAAAGAAAAAGGGGAAACCTTACAAGAACAGACGCAAAGGAGACGCAACACGTATGTCAGAGTACAATAAGCAAAACTCTATACATTTGCGTATTCCATAGCATGTGTACATTTCCAAATTGAACAGCAAACAATTGTGTGAAAACAGGAATTTTGGAAGTTCTGTGTCATTGCGAAAGAAAAACATATCAGAAATGTGTCGTAATGTATAAGCAAGGAGGGAAAATGTTAGAAAAATGTTTAGACATGAGACAGAGTTTTAGCAGTCACGGTCATTTTGGTGTCAGCCGCTTCTAACACATCAAAAAACAAAAGCGTGGGAAATATAAGCTATTATCCACGAAAATGACACACTGACCGGGGATGTTGACGCAGGACTTGCTCTGGGAAAGGACGTCACTTTCTCTTGGCTGTCTTTAGGAAAGAATCTGAGTTTGAGCATAATACTGGTTTCATGTATATGGGCCCTGGTAAAGATACTCGTCAGAGTATATGCATGGCTAGTATAGGCATGTGCAAACCTGAGACTAGTGCTTTAAACTTCTTATTTTAGTATTTTAATCACATCACAGCAAGATATAGTACAGATAGAGTGTGTACGTATGTCTTGCACAGACAGCAGTGTACACAACCAGTGTCATATTATTCCTTTGCCAAACAGGTTGAACAGATATAACTCAGCGCATCCCTTAAGTATATGTGTATAAGGAAATATTTAGTAATGGTTATTCTATAAGCTTACTGTTTTATATCATTCATAAATCAACGCTAATTAATTTGGATATAAAACACTAGTAACCTCAGATATAGCATCGATCAGTTTAATGGATCTACTTGATATATAAATAAGCCTACAAACTGCAGCAGTAGCCATTTGTAGATACCTTCAACTGCATTAAAAGTGGTCGCATCGTCTGTATCGTCACATTATAAACATACAAGTACGACTTTCGTCGAAAAGTTTGTAAGTCTGCTAGTTCCGGTTTTATTTATGTGAACATTTTTTATAGAATTGTGTCGTGCGGTTCCAGAACTATAGAATCGCGAGCGCCTTCTATCTTCTATAATGTAACCACATATGACCCTCACTCTGTGCGTTTAAAAAACATTAACTTCCGTTTGCGAAACAATATTCTAAACAAAATTGAGCTAAAGTACAATTATTCTAACGGAAAAGAGATTTTAAATATATTAAATTATATTTCCCTTTTAGCTCCACCCCTCTGATCAGTCTTTTTTCTCTAAAAACAAAGCAAAGATTTGTTGATTATATTGAAGTAATTTATTGGTAAAACACACTCATATTGTCCTTTTTAAAAATACAAATACTAAACAGAGATTACAGGGTTTTGCTTTACAGATTGCAATCAAATCAATACAGTCTGATGATGAATAATAAGTATGCACGGATTATTATAGTTATAATGACATTTTCATCGTATAATGAATACGTAATACATTTCAAATCCATGATAAACTAAAAGCAAACTGAATTTTCAACAAAAATATTCAATATTAACAGAGGACATACATGATATGAATGCAGATTTCTTCAAGTAGGACCACATTGGTCAAAAGTAAAAACGGGTTCAAATATTAAGACCTAGTATGCAGTATCCAGTTATATAGACTGATAAGCTTCAGGGGTAGATAATAAGAATGGTGAATCAATGACATGTGATGTGTAGTTGTACGTAATTAAAGTTAATAATTCCGAAATTGATGTTTTTTATTATTTGTTTCAAGTTCTGTGATTGCTTAATAGTAAGACATGTAGTTTTAACTTCTGTTTTTTCATATACTGTTTATTTACTTATGATATCTTTTATTTATATTTCTTAATTATCTTTGTCTTATTTTTACTAGAATATTTGGAAATAAATAAGTTTAAACGAGTAAACCACATTTTTTTTCGCAACAGTGACACGTGCTATCGTCTTATAGTTTGCAATATCATCCTGACAAATCTTAGATTGTATTAAAAGTATTTCAATATCCAATATAGGTTTGCGCACAGGAGTGAAACTATTAGGAATTAATCTAGATGTTTTTAACATTAGACAATATTACACAAATATTCATGATTCGGATTAAGCTTAATTTATCAGTTTGGTTTGATTGATAAAGGCAAAGTTTGCATGTGCCGTTTGCAGCGGTTTCAGTAATTTCAGTAACTATTTGTGTTTAATACAAACTGTGCATTCCTATATTCATGAATTTCCACGAAAGCGGCATGCAAACACTAGGCCTAACACTCCCATAGCCCAAAGGCGTGACTACTAACAAACAAACTTTAAATAAATGTGCTTGAAAAAACGACACATAATGCTCCTACCACACAAATGAAAGGTCTGTCATAAATGTATTATTGAAACGATACGTGAAACACAGAACGTGACTAGTCTAACGAATGCACTTCCTAAATAAAATAACATATCTCGGGTGTCAACACCGGCCTATGATTCCGTGCTGCCGAATCTTAAGCCCCTACTTTTTTAACTCGGAACGTTACACTCAATAGAATCATCTCCTTGACTAAGAAAACTAAGAAAAACAATATATAAACAAAGAACAGGTCACATTTCATAATCATATTCTATATATTTGTTTGTTTGTTTTCTAGGGGTTTAAGGTTCCGGTAATAACCAGGGTCATATGAGGACTGGTGCCCGGGGTGACACCAACGGGAAGAGAAAGTAGGTGAAAAAGAAAGAAGACAAGACGGAAAGGAAACGAAAAAGTGTTACAATTGAGACCGAATACGAAATTTGGTATCTTCAATACCCTCTAAGTAAAAGACCGTTAGATAACATAAGATTGTCCAGGGGGCTCCACAAAAGTCGCCTTTTACGATACACATACAGTGGGATACAACAGGTATATTCTGGTTTCCTCAATGTCCCCTTTACAGAAGACATGGAAAAGAGCAAGCAACCCCGAATCTGCAGATGTGTGTGTGTGTGTGTGTGTGTGNGGGGGGGGGGGGGGGGGGGGGTTCCTGAACCTGCACTGGTAAAGCATCCGACTTCATTTAACAATTCTTTTAGAATGAGAAAATATGGATGACCAAATGGATATTATTACTGTTATACTTCATTTTCAGTTTTAATTTTAACAATTTGTCTACCGCTTTTTTGAATAACTTCAATATGTGCCATTTTAAGGTTGTGGTGCACGTTAATAGCTGATCTTGATATTCCTTTTCACTGATGCTGGTTTTATTTCTTGAATATTTGGATAAAGTGAACACTCAGAACCAATCTATTTGAATAATACGTAAAAGCATCATACAAATATTTTATGACATACGTTGACATTTTTAAAAATCTACATTATTAAGGCGATATATGTTATTTATGATGCAGGCATACTTTTTATTCATACATATGTAGAATATTTAATCGATGATTGATCGAAGGGCTTACAAAGGTAAATGACACTTTTGATCTTAAAGTATCATGGATGATGCTGATTGTATTGAAACTATATTCAGTCAACAGAATACATATATAAGCAATACGTTGTCAGGCAATCCGTAAATTAACATAATATTCGGACAATAGTCGTTGAAGTAACATCAATAAAAAAAAGACAAAAGAAAAATGGAAAATGTCTGTGATGGCCATCATCATTTCAAGACCAAACATGATTGACAATTTGGTAAACCGGAGAAAGTTGACAATTGTTGAACATATGAATATATGACTTGATAACATATTTTAATAGTACATGCATGCATAATATGTAAACGGAACGAATTTCAAACATAATTCAAATATATTATTTCTCAAACTGTTCAATTCAGCAAAAACACAGTTGTAATTATTTATATTTACATATCTCCCTTTTTCAGCTTTGCAAGACTCAAACGACGTATAAATTAGCATATACGCAATGACAAAAGGCTCAGCGGATTGATTCCTGTTTCAAATATGGCACCGTTCAAGCTTCAGCGAGATAACTGTCCGATGGCAGCCTTTGTTTGTTTCCTTCATCATCTTGAAACATAGAACATATTCGGGATCCATTTTGTCTGATTAAACAATAAAGGGATGCTGGCAAAGTTCTTATTCCATGGATGCACATTCGAAATTCTTTTACGGAAAAGAAAACAACGGCGGCTTTCTTTTGCGACGTTCAACTGCCAGAGCAGTGTATCAATGAATGTACTTAACGACCGTTATACATTAATACATATGTTCCAAGTGATACTAATATTTCTTGATTTCAAATTTAAAAGTGATGAAAAGAAGAAAAATAGTGTTGTTCACAGCATATTTTCTAAACTTACCCATATTTTGATGTAGATTCACTGGCACTATATTATCCTAAAACCACGGCTAGCGTAGTTACCATCCAAACAAACCGCTTCGAATTTCCTTTTCTTTCTATTATTTATGGTGACAATGTGAGGATTGACCTTCATTTCGACAGCGCAAACAATAGTATGAACGTAGTTTGCAACACACATATTCTGTATTGAGCGGAATATGTTCGTTGTCAACTGCGTTCATATTACCGTATGCGCCGTCAAAATGCAGGCCAATCCTTAAGTATGTGTGTTAAAAAACAGCCACACTATAAACTAAACGAGCATGCAATTAAACAAAAGACCTTGACGGCCTGTATAGACCACCCTGAAATTTAGCATTCATGGCAAAAAATGTTCATTAAATATCATACAGCAAATATAATACATTCAAATATTGACTTTGTCTCACCCTTACCTTATTTGGTCCCCTCCGTTCCCGTAGGGACTCACTTGGTTTATAAAACATTGAATCCCATTTGGCAAAAGAACTATATATCAAAGTTGGTTGATCCTTCTTCCGAATAGAAGGAGAGCCTTTATTTAACTTATGGTGCAACGATTTATAAATATAAAGAGGTTGGAATTTTGGATGACTTTAACATTTTAAGGGGGGTTATTGAACTTGAAAGGAAAAAATGACAGATGGACGGGTGGATGACGGACGCTACGCCACAGCTTGGACTCGCTGGTCCTTCGGACCAGGTAAGTTAAAAAACTTAATTTGTCAAGTAATTTCAGTTTAAACCGAATTGAGATATATGTGGTTTTACAAAATACGACGAATTGATTTAAAGCGTAGACCTAACTGAATGTAAAGGTATAGTTCAGTATAAGTGTAATTCTGTTTGTATAGGTTCTGAATATTACATGGCTATTAAGAACAAGACAAAACCATTTACCGAGCATATATCATGAGCAGCTTACTGTAAAGAAAGTATCCCGATACCAAATATGTTTTTTTATTGACTATAATCAGCAATTTTCATACAGAAATCCTATCATCTCAGGATATATCTGCATACCAATTTGGTTACTCTAGTTGAAATAGTATGTAAGACAGGCTTTCGACAAATTTTAAAAACCAGAGGTCAAACATATATCACAGTGACCTTCTTTTCGTTAACTTCACTTCACCATCATCAGAAATATCTGGGTTTCTTTTATTCAAAGGTCAAAACTAAGGTCACAGTTACCAACTTTTTATACCATATACTCCGCTATCCAAATATGTACTTCCATATAAAATATGAATATTCAAGTTTGAATATTATGTGAGATATGCACAAGACAAACTTTGACCTTTCACATTGACCAGCAATATCTAGAGGAGAAGTAGTGTAATTAAAGTTGGTAGCCTATGTGGTTAATTATTAAGACTCTTTTTTTACCCGTGTTAAAATGCACTTTTTAACAGTTTATTTTAGGTATTAAGCTTACGTATGGAAAATCCCACATGTTATATGTTTATCCCAATATGTTGAGGCACATACATATTATTATCATATTCTTTACTGCAGAGATACATACTATTCTATTTAATATATAATTCTGCCAAATCTCATGCATAACGCACAGTTAATTATCGCACAATTAATAGAATAAGAAATTGTTAAAGGCAATATGCATTTGGAGGTCACAAACGAAAACATTTGTGAACCACAGTGTTATGAGATGTATATTTAGGCAAATTAAAGGTGGATTAATATCTAAGCGAAAATATTGTTTGGTTTCCTTTGATGTTGCTGTTATTCAACAAAAGCAGATCACATTAGTCGTTTTTGGTTTCCGCTGGTTGCTGCTCTTCTTCATTGTCTGGTGGCAGGGGAGGCGCATGTTTCGTGAAATCGACATCTGCGTAGTCAGTTTTGTTTTCGATACCATGGATAATGAAGTTTCTGCCGTTTTGATTGTCATCTTTGAATTCGAATTCTATATTGGGAAAAAAAGGGGAGAATCTTGAATCGCTTGTTTTAAAGAAGATTGATCACATCGCCAGAGAATAAATTTCAAATGTGCATTTCTAATAGGAAAATATTTATCATTCAACATTTGATTCATAAAACAGAACGAGTTTTTTCCTGGAAGCAAATATGTCTAGCTTTATACAACGGTTTGATAAAATAAACAAAAAACAGATTGCCTTGATATTATTTTGACGGCTAACACGTCACATTGTGGCTTTGTGAGTTGTTTTCAGCAGATTAGTTTCGAGGCACCGGCCATTTGCTGTCTTTACTTGACAACGGAAACAGACGTTCACGACAGTTCACAAAAACAAAATTACTGTTTGTGTTTTAAACAAACTTAGTTTGCATTACTCATTGGAATATATGGCATCACTGGATTCATACAGTGCAGACTAAAAGCGGGGTTGTTTTTATGTTGAAAAGCACTGTTTTCGATTTGTGAACTCAATTCAAAAATCGTGATTATATTTCTATACCTATCCTAAACACTTGTGTACTTGGATATAGGGTTAGACCAGTTATTACCAGGGATTTGGTCTCTAAGGATGGGGCAGGTTCCGAGACCATTTTGATAGCATACGTGTTACAGTCTCTTTATCTTCAGCAATTGTATATAGGATGGAGATCTCTACTTGGTATACACTATTTTCGGCCCCAAACCTCAACCTCGGAGCTCAGTCCTTCAATTTACGACCAATATGATTGATATCCGTCTTTATTCTAGATAAGAAGGCATTTAAAGCAATAAAGTAGTCCCTCTGTATACCGACCCCCAGTTATATTGTCAACCCCGCATACCGTAATGATGTTGTTAGAAACATTTTCCCCACGATATAAATCTGTTAATTTCGCCATCTGCCAACCATGTCAAATACAAAACTGTTCATACCTCGTGTTTAATCTACATGTATAGGTAAACGTGAGAGCTAATTACCCCAAGTTTACACAATAAAAACTACTCTAATGTTATGTTGTGTATACATATTGTGGTTGTTATTTTTACATTTTATATTTCATTTTCGTAAGTTCACAGCTGTAACGGAGGGGACGGTTATTTCATACGTCGTCAGAGATTTGAATCGATCCTATACTGGATAATACAGTAAAATAAGAAGTGTTCAATTAATAAGATTACTTATAACTAACGCCTAACATGAGTATAATGTTAAAAAATATTGTGTGATCGTTAAAATAAAACCAAACTTTACTGAAATCAAGCTACTACTGCCATGACAGATCACGCGAAATGTTTTCTCAATTCCTGTTACTTTATTTGACCTTTACCAAATATGGGTTTACTACTTTTTTCGCCATATTTACTACGTTTTCCATTTTTGGTCATGGCACCAATATATATAATTCTACCACAATACGCTGTGTTATTCCACTATCAGATCATTGTATAAACACGCTGACTGTTAGATAAATATGAGTTATATACCACACGTGGTATATGACCTACACGAGTTTTGATTGGTCGAGAAGATGAACTTTGACCGGGACGACTTTTTCCACGCGCTCTTTGCCACAATATCTTTTGTTTACGTCGTCTGCTGTCAACATTCGACAAATGTTGGTTATTAAGGCAATATTAAAAGAAGATGATACTTAAAGATTTGATCGCTAGTTTCAGGCAAAATTGCTGCCGACGCTCAATATCGTTTCGACGTCACAACGTCGCGTGTCCAGGTCATGAAACCAAAACAAGATCTGTCACAGTGTCGGAAACATTTCGTTCTCCCAACGTCCCGTTACCGCTATTTGGACGGTCTGACTATGGCTGAACTGTCACTATAAACGTCAACCATAGAACCGTCACGAAGAAACGTAGGCCTATGGTTTTGGACATTAACAGCGATAAGTTCGTCTTCGTCAGTTGGCGGGAGGCAGACGTCGTACGATATGCTTACGCGCATATAGTCCGTGGTGAATTTATATAAATTAATGCAATACTGCTACTCCCAATATTTAAAGTCGTTCATCTATTATAATTTTTGCATGAAGTCGTTGCCGAAACATTAATTTTGACAATTATTAGATTTGTAAAAAAAAAAGCCATTTTTGAATATTAATGATTGACTTTTTATATATGGTTCATATCACTACGCCAGCCTTGTCAACAAATACATGTGCGTATGTTATTTCCGACTGATCATGAGATTGTGGTAGAAACAGATCACACGACTCGTGGTTGTGGAGTATGGTATTTATTTCACTTTCATTAGTTAAAATTAGCTAAAGCTCGTGTCTTTTGTAACTTTTGAAAATTAACTAACTCGAGTGAAATAAATACCATATTCAACAACCGCTCGTTGTGTAACCTCTACATCTGACCTATAACGGAAGAGAGACGACGTTTCCAAACACGATGTCATGCGATCAAAACAACTCTTTCATACCTAAGGATGTAGGATAGGGAAATTCAACCCTCAGGCTTTTCAAATTTTGTAAAATCCGACGCTTCCTTAACAATCGAAGAATGCTCGAAAACAAATATGGTTGAAATCCATCTCTTTATTCCAGGGAAGAAGTCCCTTTCAGCAATATTGCCATATTACTCCTTTTTGCCCCCACCCCTCAACCCCTTCCACTGATAAAAATGTTCTACACCAAATTTGGTTCAAATCCCTCCATTTATACAGAAGGAGAGGGGTTTTTAAACCCGTTTCCCTTGTTCTCTTTTATCGGTCTCCACCTCTTCCCCCAGTGAAGCTTATCCTTCCTTTTTTTCAAAACTGAATGCCCCTTGCCGCAGGATATTACTCTGGTCCCATGGGTGCCACACCCTCCATTTATACCAAGTTAATTTCCCTTTGTCCAAGATTGATCTTAACCTTATTTGGTTCGAATCCCGCAATCCATACCTAAAAATAAGGATTTTAAACATTTTTGACTGTGTTCTCCCTAATGGGTTCTTGCCTCTGGGTCCCCCCACTTATCGCCCGGGAGCCACACTCTCCATTTTATCCTCCCGTCGGGGAAGAGTGTTAACAACCAAGTCGTACTCGCTAATCTCTTGTAGTTTATACCTGTTTGCTTCTTTTCCCCTTCTTTTTGTTTTCCTACAATACAAACTGAAATTAATTGCATTCACGTCAACATAGAAACAATTTACCTCACTTTTTCGTGATATGGTATTGTTATTTGAATTTTTTAAGGAAATATATTTGTGATTAAGTCTATCCTATCTCTTCTTTAAACTTGTAACGAACATGGACATGATTTTTTAAACGTCTTTTTTAGAGTTAATACATGAGAAAATATAGTATACCTTTGCCTAATTTGTTTTTTGGTTTTTTAACTTCTGCATACACATCGTTAACGTTTTCGAGTTGTTCAGTCTTCGGTTTGTTCACAACAGCATCAACTGCGTCTGGCGATCCAGGCTTTCCCTTTGAAGGTTTCTGAACAACAGCATATTCCGAGGAAGTTCCTGGTTGAGCGTCAACGGACTCGTATAGAATGTTGTTCTGGAGTCCAACTGTGAGACAACATATTACCTGTCATGGGTGATTTTATTAATAACAAATGCATTTGGTAGTACAGTGATACTATCTTCCTAATACTTAATGTTTGTGTCGAGATTCAAATTGCATTTACCTACACGCATTTTACATCGAATCCATAGAACAAAATTAGATGTTTTGGTGAATATCAAAGATCGTTTTAATGGTTCGAGGCATAACCTAAAATTGGCATTAATTTCATTTCAACATAAACGGTATTTTTTGAACAGAACACACTTTGAACTGCCTTTATTCATATGACTTTCGGTCTTGATTGTTTGATGAACTTGCACAAATGTTATGTTGGAGTATCTACTAAAGCTTTGTTATCCCTTTCAAGTTTGTTTCAACTTTACTTTGCAGTTAGGTCTTTTTCATATGGAAAACATTCGAACATTTTCGTAAATGTCCTAAAGACCAATTACACCGATTAAAAACAAACTTGTGCACATGCTTCTTAAATAACAATCCAAATTTCCAAAATGGCCGCCCTATGTCCGATTTGTAGCCGCTCTAGAACCTGATTGGCTTAACCATTTCAGATTTCTCTAAAACGACTTCATCACTATACTTATAGGTTAAATAAATCCTTTCTTAGAGTGACTGCTACCATGACTGTCATATTAAAATTAAACACCGATTCTATTTTGCTGATGATGTTCAACTTTGAAAATTACCTGTACATAATATATACAAAATTATTATTTTTGTGTTGTTTCAAAATGAGTCCCCCCACTTATCGTCAGGGAGCCACACTCTCCATTTTACCCTCCCGTCGGGGAAGGGAGTTAACAACAAAGTTGTACTCGCTAATCTCTTGTAGTTCATACCTGTTTGCTTCTTTACCCCTTCTTTTTGTTTTCCTACAACAAAACAAACTGAAATTAATTGCATTCACGTCAACATAGAAACAATTGTACCTCACTTTTTCGTGATATGGTATTGTTATTTGTAATTTTTAAGGAAATATATTTGTGATTAAGTCTATCCTATCTCTTCTTTAAAATTGTTACGAACATGGACATGATTTTTTAAATGTCTTTTTTAGAGTTAATACATGAGAAAATATAGTATACCTTTGCCTAATTTGGTTTTTGGTTTTTTAACTTCTGCATACACATCGTTAACGTTTTGGAGTTGTTCAGTCTTCGGTTTGTTCACAACAGCATCAACTGCGTCTGGCGATCCAGGTTTTCCTTTTGAAGGTTTCTGAACAACAGCATAGTCCGAGGAAGTTCCTGGTTGAGCCTCACCGGACTCGTATAGAATGTTGTTCTGGAGTCCAACTGTGAGACAACATATTACCTGTCATGTGTGATTTTATTAATAACAAATGCATTTGGTAGTACAGTGATACTATCTTCCTAATACTTAATGTTTGTGTCGAGATTCAAATTGCATTTACCTACACGCATTTTACATCGAATCCATAGAACAAAATTAGATGTTTTGGTGAATATCAAAGATCGTTTTAATGGTTCGAGGCATAACCTAAAATTGGCATTAATTTCATTTCAACATAAACGGTATTTTTTGAACAGAACACACTTTGAACTGCCTTTATTCATATGACTTTCGGTCTTGATTGTTTGATGAACTTGCACAAATGTTATGTTGGAGTATCTACTAAAGCTTTGTTATCCCTTTCAAGTTTGTTTCAACTTTACTTTGCAGTTAGGTCTTTTTCATATGGAAAACATTCGAACATTTTCGTAAATGTCCTAAAGACCAATTACACCGATTAAAAACAAACTTGTGCACATGCTTCTTAAATAACAATCCAAATTTCCAAAATGGCCGCCCTATGTCCGATTTGTAGCCGCTCTAGAACCTGATTGGCTTAACCATTTCAGATTTCTCTAAAACGACTTCATCACTATACTTATAGGTTAAATAAATCCTTTCTTAGAGTGACTGCTACCATGACTGTCATATTAAAATTAAACACCGATTCTATTTTGCTGATGATGTTCAACTTTGAAAATTACCTGTACATAATATATACAAAATTATTATTTTTGTGTTGTTTCAAAATGAGTCCCCCCACTTATCGTCAGGGAGCCACACTCTCCATTTTACCCTCCCGTCGGGGAAGGGAGTTAACAACAAAGTTGTACTCGCTAATCTCTTGTAGTTCATACCTGTTTGCTTCTTTACCCCTTCTTTTTGTTTTCCTACAACAAAACAAACTGAAATTAATTGCATTCACGTCAACATAGAAACAATTGTACCTCACTTTTTCGTGATATGGTATTGTTATTTGTAATTTTTAAGGAAATATATTTGTGATTAAGTCTATCCTATCTCTTCTTTAAAATTGTTACGAACATGGACATGATTTTTTAAATGTCTTTTTTAGAGTTAATACATGAGAAAATATAGTATACCTTTGCCTAATTTGGTTTTTGGTTTTTTAACTTCTGCATACACATCGTTAACGTTTTGGAGTTGTTCAGTCTTCGGTTTGTTCACAACAGCATCAACTGCGTCTGGCGATCCAGGTTTTCCTTTTGAAGGTTTCTGAACAACAGCATAGTCCGAGGAAGTTCCTGGTTGAGCCTCACCGGACTCGTATAGAATGTTGTTCTGGAGTCCATCTGTGAGACAACATATTACCTGTCATGTGTGATTTTATTAATAACAAATGCAATTGGTAGTGCAGTGATATTATCTTCCTAATACTTAATGTTTGTGTCGAGATCCAAATTTCATTTACCTACATGAATTAGCAAGCGATAATTTTGATTCTCTAGTGCGAGGCGTGTATTGAGCAAATATATAACGAAAGCAAAAATAAAAACTAAACTTAGAAAGGATTACAAATATTACACTTCACATACATATTACCTTAACAAACTTTGAACGGTACAAATGCTGTATATATACATCGTCAAGCTTAATTCTATTAACTCTATGCCGTTATCTAGCTGAAAATTATTTGGACAGACATAATGGTTCAATTACAAATGTACTCACCCGATGATTCATACAGAATATTGGGTTTCATGCCATCTGTTCGAAAAAAAGAAAATAAAGAAGCCAATAGAGCTTGTCTTGTTCACCTGTTTTTGTTTTTTATTATCTGAATTAAGAGCCTAAAACCGAAAATGTGTCATAACAATTCAGGTTGTTTAAATTATATTTTTTCCAATCGATAGAAAGTAGAACTATTGTGACCTTAATATCAATCCTGTGATGGAGCGAAACTTGCCCAACATCCTGAAATCGCACTGATTAAATTCCCCCAGTAAAACAGCTTCAAATTGTTATTGTTTGAGGTAGTTATAATGTAACAGAAGACAGAAAATAAAACAAAATTATGAATTACCTTTACTATCATCTTCGGCGGATCTGTAATAAATAATGGCAACTACTTTTTTAAATACGAACGTTTGTTATTCACGCAATTAACATCGAATCCATTGAACAAAGTTAGTTGTTTCGTGACTATCAAAGAACAGTTTAATGGTTCGAGGCATAACCTTAAATTGGCATTAATTGCATATCAACATAAATGGTATTTTTTGAACAGAACAAACTTTGGACCGCCTTTATTCATATGACTTCCGGTCTTGATTGTTTGATGAACTTGCACAAATGTTATGTTGGAGTATCTACTAAGGCTTTGTTATCCCTTTCAAGTTTGTTTTACCTCTACTTTGCAGTTAGGTCTTTTTCATATGGAAAACAATCCAACATTGTCGTAAATGTCCTAAAGACCAATAAGACCGATTAACAAAAAACCGTGTACACATGCTTCTTTAATAACAAACTGAAATCCAACATGGCCGCCCTAAGTCCGATTTGTAGCCGCTCTAGAACCTGATTGGCTTACACATTTCAGATTTCTCTAAAACGACTGCATCACTATACTCATAGGTTAAATAAATCCTTTCTTAGAGTGATCGCTACCATGACCGTCAAATTAAAATTAAACACCGATTCTATTTTGCTGATGATGTTCAACTTTGAAAATTACCTGTACATAATATATACAAAATTATTACTTTTGTGTTGTTTTAAAATGATGATGACCTTCATTCAAGGTTAGTGTGGTCGAATATGTTAAAAGTCTCAAATAACTTCTATTAAAGAACCATAAGGCTTCAAGATCATGATATTTAACAGTATAGATACGATGCAAGGCTATGAAAACTACATATATACATTGACCCATGTTCAGTCTCAGATTTAGAGAATATTGTTATGTTTTATCTAGCAGCTAGTATGTATGACTCGAGGACATAAGCCTAAGGGGATAGTCAGTTCCGCCATACTGTATGATCATTATATAACTTGTGAACTGGAAAAGACTGATAAGGGTTTTGCTTATTTTTGGCGAATACTTAATGTACAAACTGCACACACTGTGTATGTCAGCCATGCCCTTCCATAATTTGTCGCTTGTTATAAGTGCTTTGAAAACATCAATATATTGATATATTTTTCCGCAAAAGAAGCTATATAACCAGTGTCATTGATAGGGCATGTCTTGTTTATAATATGAAGTTTTGTAAGAATAGTTAAATTACACAAATAATGCGTTTGGTTATTTGTTAGGTCTGCAACCAAAAAAACGTTAACATAGCCTAATTCATTATGAAACAAGTACTAATTGTAATGGGAGGCCATTACAGATGTCCCCCAAACTGCCCCCATTGTCGCAAAGATGCATCATAAAAGGTTAGCAATGTCATAATATAATTACAATATACATACTAAATTTGAGTGACATCGCACAATTTCTGATTTGCGACCAATCAGAAGTGTATGTGTGGTTGCTATGACAACGACAGCTATGCGATTGAATTCGCAGTCCCCTAATACCCATATATACCAATTTAAAATCGACCAATATATAAATTTCGACCAATCATAGGCAAGGAATTGGCAATCATTGTGTTTCGTCACAAAACAAACACCGCAGTTGTATTTGTAAAGCCATACTTCACCTATGCACCAAATTTCATCCAAATCGGACAGTATTTAAATTTTGACAAATCAGAGGGGAAAACACGGCGGTCATTTTGTTGAAATGTGAAATCTAAGCTACGGAAGTGATCATTGTCCTATGATACACCTACATACTAAATTTTATCAAAATTGGACAATATTTAAATTTCTACCATTAAGAGGACAGGAAATGGGGGCCGAGTGTTCGTTGACCCATAATTCACCTATATACCCAATTTGATCGAAATCGGACAATATTTAAATTTCGACCAACCAGAGGTCAGGAAATGGTGGTCATTTTTTTAATCACAAAACATTATCACAAAACCAACACCGCAGTTGTATTCGTAGTGCCATACTACACATATGCACCAAATTTCATCCAAATCGGATAGTATTTAAATTTTCACTAATCAGAGGGAAAACAAAACGGCGGCCGTTTTGTTGAAATGTGAAATCGGAAGTGATCATCGTCCTATGATACATCTACATACTAAATTTGATAATTTGACCAATCAGAGGTCAGGAAATGGATGCCATTTTGTTTAATCACAAATTTCGACCAATCAAAGGCTGCCGTCTGGCTGATCAGTCGGCTGACCGATCGAAAAACGAAAATACTCTTGCGCACCGCGTGTCATACACAAACACTCACGTAAAGTTTCGTTAAATCCCGCCCTACGGTTTTCGAGAAACATGTCGGAAACCATGTCGGCGGAAGAAATAAGAATAATAAAAAAAAAAATCTATAAAAATAATAAGAAGCGGAGCAAAAACACTATGTCCCCAAATTTAGGGGGACAAAGTTATTAATTATAATTATTATAATTCTCGAAAGTGTTTCATGCAAATATGATCTTTTCATGCAATACACTTTTGGAGTGTATTGGATTCGCGTTATATATCCAATTTGAAGACATGACAGAGGTTTGACATGTAAACAACAGAAAATTTCACAGCGATCGATTGTTAAACCGCACAGAAGTGCGAAATATGGGCGGACAATGTGCTCACAGTAATTGTTGCATAGTCCAAACTCACAACTGTTAACCTGTGCAAATTCAGTTCAACAAAATTTGTGTTTCAGTTAAAAAAGATTACCAAAAGGACATGGTGGTCGAATTGGACCTCAAAGCGAATCCCAATACTATATTTAGAGAATGTATCAAAAACAAATAGATGTTAAAAACCAGTTTTTACCATAATTGATAATGTAACTCATCATTTTATTTACTTGAAATGTACTTTTTGGTCTTCAGAATGTATGCGTGAATGTTTACTGAACAAAACAAAAAAAGGGCACCAAAATTACCAGGTCAAACACTCACCTCCTATCCCTTGGGACCATCTCAGTATCCTCATCTGAAAAAAAATGCTTAATTTTTTAAAACAACATTGAAGTATTTTTTGTTAATGATATTTTTCTTCATCAAATATTTTTGGTCAGCTATAAGGTCAGCTAAACTTTGTAAGAAAAAATAAGAAACATTGAGATACGAAACTGGGGAACTATTTGGATCAAAACTAAGCAGGCTGCAGTTAGTAAAAAATGAAGCATTTTGAGTGAAGTTGCAAAATTGCAATTCATTAATCGATCTGATGAAAAATGTCATTTTTGTACAAATACAGATTCACCATGTCATCTGTTTTACAATTGTAATTATGTTTGTATGACATGTAGAATTTCCTACTTCTGTGGAAATGTTGATTATTTGACATCATTAGAAATGAAGTGAACAAAATATTACTTGGGGATTATGAAGATGACCAAAACAATTCATTTTACTCCTTAACAATAACTATAAAGTATACAATTTTGAATGTTTAAAGTGTAGTGAAATACTAAAACAAGAACATTATTGTCACCTCTGCCTTTGCAATATTTACAGAAATATTATTATATAATATATAAACTTATCTTAGAACTATAAAACCAATAAATGAAGAATATGTTTATGCCATCAAAGAATCACTAATATAAGCTAGTAATATGTGTACATGTATGTTAATATAGTGTAACTATGATGCTAACATGTAACTCTGATGAATTTAGCAAAAACTGTGAGTATAAATACAACTGTGTGGATTAAATATAACTATCTTGATAAAGTGCAACTGAAGTAATAAAATGTAACTATTGTTATATAGTGTAGCCATAATGACATAACTGTGTATAACTCTTCTTGGACGGGTCCCACTTGTGATGACTGTGATGTCACAATGTCAGTTTCACATGACTATCTATTTACCATTTGTTTCAGACAGGTGAAAACAGGTCGAATCATCGTAACAAAATCCACCATAACTTCTTTATCACTAACTAACTCTCATACATTTTTAGGTTCTTACATCTTTACTTGTGTCACCATTCCATGCTTTCCATGTCTTATATCGAATGGTTAAAAGTGAAGTATTTAAAAAAAATACGACAGCCCTTACTTTAGGCAAGTTACAGGCCTAAAGTTGTGAGTGTAGAAATGTATTTAACGACGGGTGGTAAATGACAAAGGAAGGTTCAGATCGATGACACATGTAAAGATATCATCAACTGGATTTTACCTCTTGTGTGTTTTCCAGATGACCTTCTCTTCGTTATAATGATTACAACTATAACAGCTAAAACAATGATAGCAACCACAGATCCACCCACTCCGCCAAGTATCGCTATTAAAAGAGAGTTCTCAGAGGAGGATTCTGCAACTGATTAAAAATATAGAATAAAATGTAAGTGAAATAAGTAAAACACAATGCATGTCAAACATTATATCAAGTGTGTTAAACAATACAAATCCAATGAATAAAAATGATGAAAAAGTAACATAGTATTTCTTTAAGGCTGCTTTTTATTCACTGATAATGAAGTATATTGAAGCGAAACTGCTCGTAATCACCTTTCGTAGCGCAGCTTACGTCCTTTATAAATGTCGAGTTCCCAAAAACATTCACAGCATACACTGTGAAAAAATGCTGTGTGCCAGGTGTAAGGTCAGATACCGTTATATTGATGATTCGGTGCTGCCCCGGGTCCTGCAATTTTTCGAGGGTTTGTTCAATAACAAAGTTGTCCTTTTCACTTTCCCTTCTTCCAACAGCGAATGTCTGGTCAGCTCCCCCGTTGAATGCCGATCTCCAGCTTAAGATGACACGATCTGTATTTGGACACACAGCTCTACCTTCATACGGGGGATTTGGTTTTCCTGGGGGTGAACAAATATTATATCGGAGGTGGTTTAAGCAAATATTTAAATGGAATATTTTTTCTTTTCATATTTTGAATTAAACTTCCTATCTATTTAGGATTACAATGTTCAGTAAAAAGTGTCATCTACAAAACATCACCACTTAATATATTTACACGTGATGATTAGACAACCATGGAGTAAACACTTTACATGAAAATGTGAATTATTCAAAAATCAGTAAAAGTGACCTAGTTATGGTGGGAAAACAAACGTTCACATTTATATGTAAGCGCACTTGAAAAAAGGCTCATGATATGTTGCATTTATAGTTCGTAAGAGACGAACATAAAGATAACTAACGCATAAACGTTAATGAACCTATAAAAAGCTATAATTTGACAACACTGTCTATTTAAACGAGTTTCAGTTTGATGATCAGGGGAATTGAAAATAATTAAAGTTTCCTTACTTCCATGTTCCTGACATATTTTTTCTTCATGGGCAAATGACTGTTTAGTAACATGTATGGCAGTACATGCGAATGATAAAAAGAATTTCAAAAACGGAAGGAAGTACTGAGCTTCGCACAACGTAGGAACTACATAACCTGACCTATTTTCTAAGTGTTTGCCATGTGCGAGAGATCATAATCAGGATTGGATTATGCAAATACATATTTTATCAAAAGACAAAAGGTCTATCCGTCAGGACTCCCTTCACAATGCCAATTAACATGTGTTGATTAAATTGATACCGCATGTTTAAAGCATATTTCAAAAAAGATATTTTAAAATAAATATGAGTGATCTTCATTATCCCAAACTACGTCTACACAAGATATGGTCTTATATACACTATCAACACAACCAGAGGAAAACAAGGCAAAGTGACAGGAACATACTCAAAATGACAGTTTTGTGCTAAAATTATTACTTTACCTTTAGCAGCAACTGTGAAAGTGAGTGTCCCGTTGCCCTCACTGTTTGTGGCCGTTACATTATATAATCCAAACCAGGCCTCCTGTATGTTCGCACGTGTCCCCACTGACAAAGCTGACAGGTTTGATGTAAAATGTGTATTATGTATAACAAAGTTGTCTGTCCCGTTGTTTAGCTCAGTAAAAGAAGTATGTGAAGAGTTTTGGAAAGTCCATGTGAACGATGACGGTTTCGGGTTCGAAAGAAACATGGCATTCATAGTTAGATGATCATGAGTGGCCAAACCCAGTTTTCGGACTGTGAACACTCTTGGATCAAGGCGCGGCGAACCTGATTTGGATGCCATTAAAAAAAATAAGAACATTTATTGCTCTACTATTTAGTATCACAAACATGCACACACACACACACACATATATATATACAGACAAGCACACCACCGCACACCTACTAACATACACACAAATATGATGAAAACGTTAACCATTGTCTTTAAGATAGTATAGTGGTATACGGTGAATGCGGGTATGAGTTGATATAGACAACCATTTATTTTTATTCTTATTTTTGCGAAAATCTTGACAAACAAATCCGTAAAGCAACCCAGACCTCAACTTGTCGTGAGTGATTATATTGGGTTTTTTTCTATTGAGGACTTTGAATTTCTTTTCCATATAAAAAGCGTATAACTTTGTATTTATATATTGATCAAATGGATAATATTCTGACATTATGTTTATTTTCTAAAAGTGTGGACAAAAATATAAATCCCTGCTTCCTTGTATTCACTGTTTTCTTTACCGTCAATTACGTTATGAAGCTAACGCTGTTTTTTCATTGAAGTAACAGACCGTGTTAGTTAATCTTAATTATATTTTCAAGCTGGCGGTCGGGTTCAGTCGACGTAATGGAGCGGACTTACAATAGAGTGCGTAACAAGCTAACAAGGTTCTTTGTAATCAGCTGGCGGCGTGTTTTTTACGTTATTAATTTTACGGACATCTTTACATTACGTTTTCTTTAACGACGTTGTTAACATTACAGCTTACCTTGGCATACGTCATTTACATGACAACGTGTTTTACCGACGTTACCATCATTCAAGTGAATTCACAATAAGCGTTTCAACAAATTTAACACCAGGACATTTAATTTAAGTTTGAGTTGTTTTCGTTCTGCACAAATCTTGATTACGTTGTTTCTACTAACGTGATTAGCTACATAGCGAAAAACATATTTCAGGGTTCACGTCAGCGTCACGTCACCATACATGAGCACTGGTGGGCATTGACACCTTGTCGAGAGATACGGTTTTAAATGGATAATATAAGTTCATTGAGTTTTCAACTTACTTCAGATTACAATATTAACCTGGCGACGTGGTTTCAGCGACTTTATCAACCTTTGACTATTGTACTGATTTTGGTTCTTTGTTCGCGAATATGATATATCTTCATGACTTAGAGTTTAGGTCGTCTTATGCTTCTCCATCTGGAGACGAGAAGCAGCAGGCGACGGAAAGATTAGCAATTTTTCTGTTTCAAAAAAGACAATTCATTTTATTAAAAAACTTGATTGAATCAATTAAAATAGATGTGCCGCTATATTTCGAAAAAAATAATCTAAAAATCTTCGTTTGTATCATGTGCATGTATCGGTTACTTATTTATTTCAAGCAGGATGTCGACATGGGGTATTCTTGGTACGAATATATATATATTAGTAATGACTAAAGATTAATGATCATTTGTGGCGTCAACAATGCGGTCAGATATAAATTTCGTGGTTTTCGAATCAGTAAAGAAAATAGAACATACACAAAACGTTGATCCTTATGTCCTTGGTAACCGATGTGTTAGAGACACTGTTCCGTGCAGAACAGGTGTACAGTCCTGTGTCAAAACAGCCAGCAGAAGTCAGCGTGAAGCTACTCTCCAGTACATCTGTGATGGTTAACAGTTGCGTGTCATTGTTTTTGTAGTACCATGTTATTGTAGACGATGGGACACTCTCCACCTTACAAATGAGCGTCTTGGATCCATGTTCCATCACATCAGCGTCTCCTTGATTGTACCCAAGGCTGTCTATTGCAGGAGGAACTAAAATGTAGAATAACTAATTATGTAACTTTGCATAACAATAAGGTTTTGATTTAAATTCGAAAATTTGGCTACATAGACCTTTTATCCAGTTTGACGGCTGACGAATCAAGTAAATCGACTTTAATCTGAATTGGAGCTGAATCAATACTCAATTTCTGGTTTAGAATTTATTACGTGATTTAGAGATCATAGAAACAAAATAAATGATTAACTTCAAAAGGAAGAAACAGACCTGATTGACAAAATCATGTGTTCATATCTATTTTATAAAAAAAAGAAAATGTAGGAAGATTGCTTGTGATTAGTGACACATTGTGTCGTAGGGAAGTATGTTCAGTGACAGTTAAACTATACTTGTGTTTTGATTTTCTCTATCCTAGTTATAACACATTACATGAGAAACATTTAAGAAACTTTATAATATGCGAACAGATGTATTAATCATTCTTGTAGTTTCAGCTGATAATAGTCGCTATCATTCTTACTTTTTATTGTTAATATAAGCAAAATATAAATGCAGGGAAATATCTGATGTTTACAGTAGCTTAAGCATTTGTAACATATTTATTTTATTGTTTCTGCATGTAGAACAAAGCTTTTGGGGACTTGTAAAATAAAGTGATGCCTTCAATTTATTACCGAAAGAGCATATTAGTTTCCATAGGTACGAAATGCCTGGGGGCTTGGATGACAATACATTGCTCATGACACTCGTAGTTGATTTGATAGGCCTCTCGAGTTGGGGAAGGAATCTTCATTTTACATTTGGAAATCCTCGTCCTTCAATGACCATTTTCACCAAGTTTGCATAACCTCCTACTGAACATGGACAAAATATACCCAAAAGTGTGATTTCTCAATAAAAAAAAAACTTTTGTTAACTTAATATCATCCCAAGGGCGAACGAATTGTCCGTGAGTTCCCGAATTTACAATTACAATTAAGCCACTGATGATCTCACCTTCCATGAAGAGAACTTGACTCTAGAGAAGATTTTTTATTATGGGTTAAACTTCCCTTCGGGGCCCAGCCGGGCCCCTGGGGTCAGGGCAGGCATCTCAATTTTACAATTTTAATTGACCATCTACCTCTAAGAATGATTATCACCAAGTTTGATTAATTACCTACCAAAAATGTACAAAATATACCCAAAAGTGTGAATTTCGTATGTTATATAGGGTATTTAATCAGCGTATCAGGGCTTTTCAGTTGTTATTGTTATGATTCTTATTCTTATTAATATTATTATTCTGCCATGTTTGTTATATGCAGACAATGTTTTGATTCGTAGAAGATGTCTTCATTGTCTTTCATGTATATTGAAGGTCAAGGTATAAAGGTGTGCATATCAATTTTTTTAAGTAAGTAAACATTTCAATATGGCCGCCATTACGTCACGGGTCAAAATCTAAACACGGCCATAATTCAGCATTCATGCGATAATATCATGTGTAGACATTCTTCGGGGCTAACTTGTTTTCATTACAAGTTAATACAAAACAGGTCAAAATAAAAAATCCTCGCTGTTTGGTAAAAGGTCACCAATTTTCAACTTTTTTTTAAAATCTTTTGTAGTCGATAGGGAAATACATCCTTCTGAATTTGATGCGTTCATGTTTTGAAACTTTCCTTTGATCATTTAAAACTGTAGACAACATGCTAAAACCTATTTCTTATGATGGTAAATTGATTTAAACATAGTATACAGATTTTTTTTCCCAGATATCCTTCCTAATTTGGTAACATTTTGACTTCATTGAAAAAAAATATGGCTACCATGACGTCATATCCGTTTTACCTTAATCAAAATAACTCATTAATGCGAAAAGGTATTAAGTTCATCTTTGGATATGTTTTGTAATCCAACAAAACAAAGGTTTTTCCCAGGAAAATATTTTTGGTCAAAGGTGAACTTTCGGTTTTCGGTACAAGTCAAAGTTTAAATGCACCATATTGGGTAACACACTTTATAAACCTTCTGAAGTACTACAAGATCTAGAGTCTTGATATTTGATATAACCGATGCTGATATGTTTAGCGTTCAGGCTAAATATATCGGTTAACCTTGGTCAACAGTCAAGGTCACAGGGGTCAAATGTTAAAAAAACGTTTGAGACATATACATGATATTTTACTATCGTGTTGAGGGTGTAAATTCACATACTTTTCTCAGGAAATATTTTTGTCTCAGAGGTCAATATCCGACTTTTGGTAGGGGTCAAATTTCAACTACACTATTTTGGGTTACTAGCTTTAAACATTTTCTTTTCACGTTCTACGAGGTCTAGAGTCTTGCTATTTAATAGGTAAGTTGCTTAGATGTTTGATTATCATGTTTTAGAAAATAGTTGACGTTGATGAACTCCCTTAGTCAAAGAGGTCAAGTTGAAACTTCATTAAACCAAAATATTTCGAAAATTGTTTCAGACATTGATACTATATTATGTAAAGGACGCATATGCTCAATATTTTCTTTGAAAACATTTTTTTATCAAAGGTCAACTTTGGTGTTCAATAGGGGTCAAATTTCGAATGTGCTATTCCAAGGGCACAGCTTTAAAAACTTCTTTGAAATTTATATAAGGTCTAGAGTATATATATTTGATCTGTAACATGTCAAGGTGACTGACTATCAAGCTTGAAAAAATGGTTTACTAACAAGGTCACAAGGGTCAAACTTTTCAAAACACTATACTGAACAAAAAAAGAAACGCACAATTAAATCATGCTATCAATAGCCTATGATATTTTGGGAAATTTGTACAAAATTGTATATCAATATGAAGGGACAAGTCTACTCTTTACAATACTGTAGAAAAAAAGTCTGTGTGACGTCACTCGTGTCATCAGTAGCTACTCAAAGTGGGATACTCGCGAAAAACAAAATGACACTTCAGTACCTGGTGTGGACACCCCTTGCACGAATCCCTGCACGGAATCTCCTATGCATTGAATTCATGAGAACATTTATTCGCCTTAAGGGAATGTTGTTCCATTCTTGTGTAACGCTGCGATCAATTGGGCGCGGTTAGTTTGGGGGGGGGGGGGGGCGTTTCCTAATACGCCTGTCCAGCTCATCCCACACATGCTCAATGGGAGACATGTCGGGGCTATATGGGGGCCATTCCAGAGGCTGAACGTTGTTTGCCGTGAGAAAATCACGACAGACTCTGGCAACATGCGGTCGAGCATTGTCTTGCTGGAAAATTAGGTTATGACGTCTGAGAAGTGGAAGGACATGTGGTTGGCGGATCTGGTCTCTGTATCGAACGACATTGAGGTTTTGATCCAGGACAACTAAGGGGGATTTTACTCCAATGGAGATGCCACCCCAAACCATTACAGAAGCCCCACCGAATCTATCGCGTTCAACCACACATGCGTCTGCGAAACGCTCACCGCGTCTGCGATATACCCTTTCTCTTCCGTCTGAGCGATACAGACAGAATCTAGACTCGTCGGTGAACATCACACGCCTCCATCGACACATCCCAAACCTATTCGGGCCATGTCTGCGCATCCAGTCAAGACACACTTGCCGCCTCCGTGGTGTCAGAGGTGGCCCGATATAAGGTCGGCGTGCAATGATTTTCTCGGCACGCAAGCGGTTCCTGGTAGTTTGAGGACTAATGAGTCTGCCATGAGTACCTAAGGTATGCGACGCAGTCTCTACATCAGTCTTGAATCTGTTGTGCGACAATCGAATCGCCCTGTCTTGTCGTGCGGTCGTTACACGCGGATGACCGCTCATTGGACGATCGGAAACTAACCCAGTAGCACGGAAACGTGTACAGACACGGTTAATTGTACACGGGCCAACACCAAACTGCCGTGCGACAGCAGTTTGGCTATGACTATCCATCAACATCGCAATTACTCTACCCCACTGAATTTGCGTTAAGTGTGGCATCTCAGTCAATTGCGAAATCAAAATGCCAACGTGGAAATAATGTGGCTGAACTTAGAGTATCCGTTGAGATTATTTGTTTGAATCGTTCTAGATATAATACCTGACCAAATATTCCATTATTTCCTGATGACAGCTAAGGTGTACTGCAGGCAGGGTTGGGGGGGGGGGGGGGACTTTGTGCGTTTCTTTTTTTGTTCAGTATAAAGCAACCTCTCCCAAATAAGGAAGAGGCATAGGTACATGCTATTTGGCAAGGAGCATTCATAAATGAAAGGCCTAATGCGATTTAAATGAACGACCTTGACAAACTTCGAATGATATTTTTACAGTGAAAATCCATTTTTTCTCTCGGGGTTTTTAATTGTGTATGAGGGCTTCCAGTGCTTTGATTTATACTAAACGAAAAACAAAGTTTACTTCCAGTACTATTGTTTATATTATCGTTTTCATCACAGAGGGAAAAGACATTGAGGTTGAAAAATAGGTTTGTGATGAGAGACAAAAGCAGTCCTAACTGTGAAAAGCCCGTCAAATTGTTAGCCAACAAGTTCTAGTTCCATGTTGGCCCATTTATAAGGCCAATGTCCTTCATATGGGCCCAAGGCGCTGGCCGAGGGTTTATATGACAGACCAAAGCCTAATAAATGGTCAACATGAAATAAGCTTATTAATGACACTTTTATTAAGTAAGTACTTGTACACTATTGGCAATAATCTTAAAATAACAAATCAACTGATTAAGATTAACAAGATTGATAACAATAATATCAAAATATTTTTCAGTTGATTTCTTCCCTTTGAATTAGACATGGACTGACAGTTCTTTCCTTTTTTTCTGGGCGGTATTACATTGATATTTATGGTACCTCCTGAGGTATGTGACCACTTAACAGGGAAAAGGGCAGAACCTTGTAGTTCATAATTGGCCATTGAGTATAAACTACTAATATACCATTAAGCAATGTTTGGCTTAACTCGCTTAACACTTCGTATCTAGTAATGCCATGCATAATAACCGCTAGCATGTCTTTGTCGTTTTTTGTGGATCTGACGGATGTTCGCTCCATGGTTTGTTGTATTCTGCCGTTGTCAATACAAATGAGGATGAAGGTAGTCATCGCCGATCAGTGTTCCAAATCATATTGCGTGCGGTCGATTGGCTCGTTATCGTTAATAGTGGCCCAATTATCCCATTTTGGTTAGGTTTTGTTATGATATTTTTTCTCATATAATTGTCAATATACAAGTAGTTGTAGTGGACATTGGGAGTCGCCAATATTATACAATAACGCACAAGGTTTGTAACGCTAAATAGCAAAAATGTATTTGACAGTTCCCTGTCTCCGTAGATATTAATAGGATACAAAAATTGCACACTGATTGCGGGATTTCACAGTTTAGGTACAGTAGTAGCCATACGCTGTCAGCTGCCAACAACATTCAGCCAATGCCAACAATTCAAATCCCGACAATAAGTTTGGTTCAATAGGCTTACCCGAGTTCACATCGTAATCATATATTACCTACAGTGTGTGCCATTTAGGTACAGACAACTTGTGCGTCAACTGATGCAGGAAGCTGAACCTGTACACCATACTAACAGTTCATTCCCTGTCCGGCACCTCATGTTTACACTTCACGCCATGCTCTCCATCCCATAATAGTACTTAGCCTACGTCACCCAGTGACGTGCTACTAATCGCCGTAAATGTACCGTGAACATGCCGGCGCGCTACTAATCACCGTAAATGTATCGGTAACAGTTGATTAATATAGTATTAACATATAGAAAAGTTTACCCCCTTCACAAGGAAGAACGAATGGCCCGAGGGTACTGAAATCTACAATTTAAACATCCATAGAAATTGACTGAAGTACAGTGTCTGGAGAAGATTTTTTAAATATTTGTAATTTTGTCCCTTTGGGGCCCGCCCTGGCCCCTTGGGTTGAAACAGGAATCCAATTTGTACAAGGAAGATTCTGACCAAATTTGACAATAGTCGATTCTCTCGAGGAAGCCAAAAATCTTAACAATTTTCATACGACGCACCGCGCACGATGACGGATGAAAAGGTGACCTTAAAAAAAACCCAAAGGATTCGGTCAAAAACTGGTACTTATTACAGGATTATGTAAGCAGGTTAGCAGACGGAAGGACGGACAGTGTGATGATATAAAAAAACATCACAAGACATCAAGCGTACTTACACTGTACGGTAACAGTTGTTGTTGTCATTGACGCTCCAACAGCATTCCCAGCAGTACATCTGTATGACCCTTGTTCTGACCTGTCCAGGTGTTCAAGAGACAAAACAGCTGAGGCAGTAAAGTTGGTGTTGTCAGGTTTTGTCCAGACAAAGGTACAGTCAGGTCTACACTCAGCTTTACAGGTGATGTCCGGTAACGTGTTCCCTTCAGTCCTGATGTAGGTAGTGGCCGCTGGGAACAGGGTTACAGTACCGGGACCGTCTGTAATACAAACACATTATTTCTTATGATTTACTTGGACAGATTAAACTAAATTGAATAGCTTTCTGTCTGTTATTAGGAACAAGTCGGCATGCGCCTTGAACATGAATACTGTTGCCGAAAAATGTGGCAGGTTTTAATTGTAAATAGGATTACGGTCGCCTTATACAATGTAGCTTCCAGCTAGATAGAATTTCCCTTTAGCTCAGTGGTAGAGCGTCCGACTAGGAACCTGGAGATCGAGGGTTCGATCCCTGGTGGAGGCAACCTTTTCTCTTTCCTGTTACATTTCGTTTCCGACTAGTTAGCTATAAATTGATTATGTGTGAAGATAAAAAAATGAAAAGATGATAATTGAGTGTTGAGTGATTATCAGTGTCGACTACAAATATAATGGTGTAATGCCGTCGCATAAAGTTGATTTGATGATATCAAAATCATGTGATATCACTTAATTACAAATGTCGTCATATAATGATGATAACATATCATATGATGATGATAATAAATCATATAATTAAATGTTTACTATGGCGGCCATTTTCTTCCAATCCAAAAAATATGAAAACCTCACTTGAAATTCCCAAATCATGGAAATTTGGACAAAAATATGTACTCACAGTTTATGCAATATTGAACCCATTTAGATAATACAAACTGAAATTACTAAATATTATCGCAAATCAAACAAAAGACACATCCCTATATTTTCATTTGGTGTGGCAACACTCCTTATCCCTTCTATGAGAAGATTAATTTATGAGAGCGTAACTGCAACTGTTATTTGCTGTGTACGAATACATTGCCTGAGCACTGCTGCTACGATTGCATGACTACACATAATTTTATCCAGTTTAACGTCTGACGAAACCAATAAATCGACTTTAATCTGAATAGGAGCTGAATCAATTACTCAATTTTTGGTTTATACTGTGTTACGTGATATCGAGATCATAGAAACAAATATATCATTCATTTCAAGAGGAAGAAACAGACCTGATTGACAAGATCCTTTGTTAATATTTATTTTATAAAACAGGACGAAAATGTAGGAAGATATTTTGTGATTAGTGGCACATTGTAGCGTAGAGAAGTATGTATAGTGACAGTTTAACTATACTTGTGTTTGTTTTTCTCTGTTATGATTATAACGCATTGCATGATAAACATTTAAGAATTTTTGCAATATATGCGAACAGATGTATTAATCATTCATGTCGCTATACGTTTATACTTGTTATTGTTAATATAAGCAAATTACAAATTTACTGTATCACACATTATTTAAGAAGTGACTATGTTATATAGAAAATGGCTATAACAGTCTGAGCCATGACGACATAGGGCCTTTATGTACGAAATGATCATGATCATTTTTATATGTATTTACAAAGCAGGGAAATATCGATGTTTACAGTAGTTATTTGTTAACATATTTATATCATTGTTTCTGCATGTAGAAAAAGCTCTTTGGGACTTGTAAAATAAAGTGCTGCTTTCAATGTAATACCGAAACAGAAAATTAGTTTCCATCGGTACGTCATGCTAGGGGGCTTGGAGGACAATCCATTGATCATGATACTCGTAGTTGATTTGCTTAGTGAAGGAGAAGGTTTGGGGTATTAAGATAATTTCGTTTCCAAAACATGTAATGTGTAATAAAAACTGTTAAACAACAAGTCAATTGCAATAACAACACATGGGATACATATATGTTAGTGATGCTTAGACACTTGTGTATATCTCTCAACACTGTGTGGATGTTCAAGTACATGTATAAAGTATAAGTTTCATTGGACTCACTGCATCTTCAAACCACATTTTTAAAGCATTACTTCAATTTGTATGGTCATGCTTTTTACACTGATGTACAAGACTCTGCTGAAATGATGTTCTTGCTCTCAAAAGTACGAAGTAACTTGCCTTCCCATTAATGGAAAATGTTAAACTAACATATACAAATAGGTTAAGATTTGAATTATAATGGTTCAAGAAAAGGCTGCTAACTGTTTGAAAACATTTCAAAGTGATCTTAATATTTGTCAAAATATTTTGTTTTTCAAAAAGGATTAAAACGACAAAGAAACGATTTGTTATACAGAGAAAACGGACAAAACATGGAATTCGGGAAATGAGGATACGTATGACATCATAAAATAAGTCATTTATTGGAAAAAAGTACACTTAATATGATATAAAAATGAGACCTTTAATAAACCTGTCCCCTGTTATATACCAGATTTTGATATCAACATTTAAACAATATGTGTTGCCCTGAAAATATTAATAACCCTACCCATTTATCTAAGAAATCATTTGTATTGAGGTTTGTATGAAAGATAACAAGAAAATAATTGATGCTCCTAATGGAACACATACGGGTATTGGTGAGCCTCCATCAGCTTTTGCACATCGAGTAAATAAGATATATTCTTAAATGAGACCCAATTTCCATAATACATGCTTACAATTGACGATTAGTTGCCAGCTTTTTGTTCCTCGGCTGATGGTGTTGTGAGCTGTACACGTGTATATTCCAGCGTTGTTCCTCGTGACCTTCGACAGAGACAGTGGATTTGGACGAACTTTACCTGATTTGGACCAGCTATACATACATGGCGGTCTACAGTCAACAAAGCATTTTATGTTTGGGACGGTCTGGTTTTCAACTCTCTCTGCTACATCTTGCATCGGTTCGAACGTTATGCTGTCTCCTGGCCCATCTGGGGAAAAAAAAGTTTATTTTTAGTGTCTGTTTTTTGACAATTTTCAATATTTTAATTTGATTAGATATAGGAATAAGGTAAAACATACGACCAGATACGTTCATTACAGCTAACCATCAAAACTTCACACAAATTTACAATATATCTATTACATAATTATGCAAATGGTGTAATATACATACTAACAAGAAAATATTTTTTTTTATTGCAGGAGGAACTGAAATGTAGAATAAATAATTATGTAATTATACACTGCAATACAATTTTGATTTCAATTCGAAAAATTGGCTATATAGACCTTTTATCCAGTTTGACGGCTGAAAAACAAGTAAATCGACTTTGATCTGAATTGGAGCTGAATCATTACTCAATTTATGGTTTAGAATTTATTACGTGATTTAGAGATCATAGAAAAAATCCGGCCCCTGGGATTAGGGCAGGCATCTCAATTTTACAATTTTAATTAACCCTCTACCTCTAAGAATGATTATCACCAAGTTTGATTAATTACCTACCAAAAATGTACAAAATATAGCCAAAAGTGTAAATTCCGTATATTATATAGGGTAATTAATCAGCGTATCAGGGCTTTTCACTTTTGTTATTGTTATGATTCTTATTCTTATTAATATTATTCTTCTGCCATGTTTTTTTTAAATGTAGCTTATGTTTTGATTCGTGGCAGATGTGTTAATTGTCTTTCATGTATATTGTAGGTCAAGGTATAAAGGTGTGCATATCACTTTTTTTTAAGTAAGTAAACATTTCAATATGACCGCCATTACGTCACGGGTCAAAATCTAAAAACGGCCATAACTCAGCATTCATTCGATTATATCATGCGTAGACATTCTTCGGGGCTAACTTGTTCTCATTACATGTTAATACAAAAAAGGTCAAAATAAAAATCCTCGCTGTTTGGTAAAAGGTCACACATTTTTCAACTTTTTCATTTTTCATGTTTTTTTTTATATCTTTTGTAGTCGATAGGGAACTAAATCCTTCTGAATATGATGCATTCATGTTTTGAAACTTTCCTTTGAACATTTAAAACTGTAGATAACATGCTAAAACCTATTTTTTATGATGGTAAATTAATTTAAACATAGTATACAGATTTTTTCCCAGATATCCTTCCTAATTTGGTAACATTTTGACTTCATTGAGAAAACAAATTGCTACCATGACGTCATATCCGGTTTACCTTGATTAAAATAACTCATTAATGCGAAAAGGTATTATGTTCATCTTTGGATATGTTTTGTAATCCAACAAAACAAAGGTTTTTCCCAGGAAAATATTTTTGGTCAAAGGTGAACTTTCGGTTTTCGGTACAAGTCAAAGTTTAAATGCACCATTTTTGAATAACCAACTTTATAAATCTTCTTAAGTACTACACGATCTAGAGTCTTGATATTTGATATTACAGATGCTGATATGTTGAGCGTTCAGGCTAAATATATCGGTTAACCTTGATCAACAGTCAAGGTCACAGGGGTCAAATGTTAAAAAAAGGTTTGAGACATATACATGATATTTTACTATCGTGTTGAGGGTGTAAATTCACATACTTTTCTCAGGAAATATTTTTGTCTCAGAGGTCAATATCAGGCTTTTGGTAGGGGTCAAATTTCAACTACACTATTTTGAATTACTAGCTTTAAAAATTTTCTTTTCACGTTCTACGAGGTCTAGAGTCTTGCTATTTAATATGTAGGTTGCTTAGATGTTTGATTATCAGGTTTTAGAAAATAGTTGACGTTGATGAACTCCTTAGTCAAAGAGGTCAAATGTATAAAACAAGTTGAAACTTCATTAAACCAAAATATTTCGAAAATTGTTTCAGACATTGATACCATATTATGTAAAGGACGCATATGCTCAATATTTTCTTTGAATTTTTTTTTGTCAAAGGTCAACGTTGGTGTTCAATAGGGGACACATTTCGAATGTGCTATTCCAAGGGCACAGCTTTAAAAACTTCTTTTAAATTTATATAAGGTCTAGAGTATATATATTTGATCTGTAACATGTCAAGGTGACTGGCTACCAAGCTTGAACAAAAGGTTTACTATCAAGGTCACAAGGGTCAAACTTTTCAAAACACTATACTGAACAAAAAAAGAAACGCACAATTAAATCATGCTATCAATAGCCTATGATATTTTGGGAAATTTGTACAAAATGTTATATCAATATGAAGGGACAAGTCTACTCTTTACAATACTGTAGAAGAAAAGTCTGTGTGACGTCACTCGTGTCATCAGTAGTTACTCAAAGTGGGATACTCGCGAAAAACAAAATGACACTTCATCCCAGACATGCTCAATGGGAGACATGTCGGAGCTATATGGGGGCCATTCCAGAGGCTGAACGTTGTTTGCCGTGAGAAAAATCACGACAGACTCTGGCAGCATGCGGTCGAGCATTGGCTTGCTGGAAAATCAGGTTATGACGTCTGAGAAGTGGAAGGACATGTGGTTGGAGGTTCTGGTCTCTGTATCAAACCACATTGAAGTCTTGATCCAGGACAACTAAGGGGGATTTTACTCCATGGGAGATGCCACCCCAAACCATTACAGAAGCCCCACCGAATCTATCGCGTTCAACCACTCATGCGTCGGCGAAACGCTCACCGCGTCTGCGATATACCCTTTTTCTTCCGTCTGAGCGATACAGACAGAATCTAGACTCGTCGGTGAACATCACTCGCCTCCATCGACAAATCCCAAACCTATTCGGGCCATGTCTGCGCATCCAGTCAAGACTCACTTGCCGCCTCCGTGGTATCAGAGGTGGCCCGATATAAGGTCGGCGTGCAATGATTCTCTCGGCACGCAAGCGGTTCTTGGTAGTTTGAGGACCAATGGGTCTGCCATGAGTACCTAAGGTATGCGACGCAGTCTCTACAGCAGTCTTGAATCTGTTGTGCGACAATCGAATCGCCCTGTCTTGTCGTGCGGTCGTTACACTCAAACTACCGCTCCTAGGACGATCGGAACTAACTCAGTAGCACGAAAACGTGTACAGAGACGGTTAATTGTACACGGGCCAACACCAAACTGCCGTGCGACAGCAGTTTGGCTATGACTATCCATCAACATCGCAATTGCTCTACCCCTCTGAATTTGCGTTAAGTATGGCATCTCAGTCAATGGCGAAATCAAAATGCCAACGCGGAAAATTAAAGTGGCTGAGCTTAATATATCCGTTGAGATTATTTGTTTGAAAAACTCCGGCTTGGCTTGATCACGCCGCGTGATTTGGACTAAAGAAGCTCACAAAGCCACACAATGACATCGTCACGCTTGGCTGATTTTAGGGTAGATTGTTGAGAAGGGAGATCGTTCTAGGTATAATACCTGACCAAATATTCCATTATTTCCTAATGACAGCTAAGGTGTACTGCAGGGGGGGGGGGGGGGGGGGGGACTTTGTGCGTTTCTTTTTTTGTTCAGTATAAAGCAACCTCTCCCACATAATGAAGAGCCATAGGTACATGCTATTTGGCAAGGAGCATTCATAAATGAAAGGCCTAATGCGATTTAAATGAACGACCATGACAAACTTCGAATGATATTTTTTACAGTGAAAATCCATTTTTTCTCTCGGGGTTTTTAATTGTGTATGAGGGCTTTCAGTGCTTTGATTCATACTAAACGAAAAACAAAGTTTACTTTCAGTACTATTGTTTATATTATCGTTTTCATCACAGAGGGAAAAGACATTGAGGTTGAAAAATAGGTTTGTGATGAGAGACAAAAGCAGTCCTAACTGTGAAAAGCCCGTCAAATTGTTAGCCAACAATTTCTAGTTCCATATTGGCCCAGTTATAAGGCCAATGTCCTTCATATGGGCCCAAGGCGCATGCCGAGGGTCTATATGACAGACCAAGGGTCAATATGAAATAAGCTTATTAATGACACTTTTATTAAGTAAGTACTTGTACAGTATTGGCAATAATCTTAAAATAACGAAAACCAACTGATTAAGATATCAAAATTGATAACAATAATATCAAAATATTTTTCAGTTGATTTCTTCCCTTTGAATTAGACATGGACTGACAGTTCTTTACTTTTTTTCTGGGGCGGCATTACATTGATATTAATGGGACCTCCTGAGGTATGTGACCACTTAACAGGGAAAAGGGCAGAATCTTGTAGTTCATAATTGGCCATTGAGTAATATAATATATCATTGGCTTAACTCGCTTAACACTTTATATCTAGAAATAGCATGCATAATAACCGCTAGCATGTCTTTGTCGTTTTTTGTGGATCTGACGGATGCTCGCTCCATGGTTTGTTGTCCTCTGCCGTTGTCAATACAAATGAAGATGAAGGTAGTCATCGCCGATACGTATAGAAATGTTTCAAAGCATATGGCGTGCGTTCGATTGGCTCGTTATCGATATTTTTTGTTATGATATTGAAATGGGCAGTTTTCTCATATTATTGTCAATAAACAAGTAGTTGATGAATAACATGTAGAAAAGTTTATTCCCTGCCCAAAGAAGAACGGATGGCCTAAGAGTACTGAAATCTACAATTCAAATAAAGCCCCGGATGATCTTTCCATCCATGCAGCAAAACTGTATGTAGTAGAGTGTCTGGAGAAGAAGATTTTTTAAATATTGATAATTATCTCCTTTGGGGCCCCAATTTACAGACGACGGTGAAAAGTGATCGAAATAGGTCACTTGAGCCTTTTGCTCATGTGACATTAACATACCAGATCTGCTCAGAAAACACAAAAAGCAAAGGATTTGGTCGAAAACTAGAAGCTGTTACAGGATTATGTAAGCAAGCTTACAGACGGACGGACGAACAGTTTGATGATATCAAAAGCTTTTTTTATTGCGCACACATCAAAAGACATCAAGCGTACTTACACTGCACGGTAACAGTTGTTGTCGTCATTGACGTTCCAATAACATTCCCAGCAGTGCATCTGTATGGCCCGTGTTCTGACCTGTCCAGTTGTTCAAGAGACAACACAGCTGAGGCAGTAAAGTTGGTGTTGTCAGGTTTGGTCCAGACAAAGGTACAGCCAGGTCTACAGTCAGCTGTACAGGTGATGTCCTGAAACGTGTCACCCTCAGTCCTGGTGTAGGTAGTGTCAGGTGGGGACAGGGTAACAGTATCAGGACCGTCTTTAATACAAACACATTAGTTCTTATGATTTACTTGCAAAGATTAATGTACACTTTCGCTCCATTGGAGATACGTCAAGGGTAATTAAGTTAATTAAGTTAGGATATACTGCAGCTGGAGCTCTGCCATCATGGACCTGGTAATGCTGTAAATATCAATCGTGCAATATGTCTCATTCAAATTATAACACATGTGTGGCTCTTAAATTTATATTTATATCTGTTCAGTTTTGTTTTCTTTATGTGTAAAGCTTAAAGAAGAACTGTCGTTTGTTATGAAAACTACACTAGTGAAAGTCGGACGGTCATAGCTTTTGCAAGGAGCAAACTTTGGCCCTTGTCCAGATCATGATTGCGATATTTTTTTTCAAGCATCCATAAGTCGACTAATGTAAAGATTTTACGTCATTTCGTTGTCTGTAAAATATACGGCTTCAATGGATAATAAATGGAGAGAAAACGCGTTCCAATATTACTACCAGCCTTCCCGGCCTGTATCGGGCTGTAATTACCCCCAACAAAGATTTGTCCTGTTCAAATTATTGTTTCTCATTAACATTTCACACTTCCATATATGTTTACTTAGTGACCACGTGAGATGACACAGTCGTGCTAGTGGTCAGTACATAGTATATTTTTCGAAGCGAGTGGACGTACGTGCAAATTATATGAGGACAACAACAGTTATACATCGTTTGTGGAGCTTTTACATGAACAATCTACAGGACATACGTAGTGAGTATATACAGACGTATTTTGGAAATACTATTTTCATTCCATGAACTTGTGAACTCTTGAGTTTTTACACAACTTTGTGCCAATGATGGCCTGGTTGCCACAACGTGTAGGCCGGAGAGCCACTGTACACATGATAACACGTTGTGTGGGAAACATGTGTGGAGGACATGACCTCTGACCGAAGAACTATCCTAACATTTTCTCCATTTTTCCTACGGGTGTTCTGATATTTAAACCGTCATCATCATGGCTACATTCAAGCAATGCTCAAACTTCACCAGAAAAAGAACGCAGTGATGCGACGAGCATTGAACTACTGTTACAATCGTAAGTCCAGACGCTTGTGAGCATAAACAAATTGCACTATTCAGTGAAATTACATGCAAAATTTGAAGTACTCTTGACCGTCACACATCGAGACGCAATCGATGGAACGGCAAAACAGACAGACGTTGGCTGTTCTGGTATTGAGGACACCCCCAGATAAATGACAAACTGGTCAGTTCCTGCATCGGTGCTTTTAGAGATATGATCGGTGCTAACTGGCTTAGTGACACCAAGGCGAAGTATAATAGACCGGGTAATTGTCCTAATTTGACAACACCCAAAGTTAACATCGAGGTTTGGACAGAGGCAAAAACCAAAACCAAATCGGTACAAAAAGTTCAATCGATGATGGTAAAAACTACCATAACGATTCTTGAGGTGACAGCCAGTCTCATTAAAGCCTCCAAGGGAGGTAACACGATACCTGCTGTAAATGAAAACGCAATTCAACTCATGGACGCGTTAAAGATTCAGGCGTGGGCATTTACAGAGCTGTCACAACTCAAAAAAAGGAAGGACAACTTCAAATACTTCCTGGACAGACGATACCACAAGTTGTGTCTACCGGGGAATGCTGTCACGACACAGCTGTTTGGGGACAACCTACCCAAACAAATCAAAGATATGCATGACACGAGGACCCTGGCCAAAAACAGTAGGACATGCCAACCAATACACATCACCATCACCCAGGGGCAAGCCATACACCTACCAAGGTCAGAGTAACTCCGGGTTTGGGAAAGGCTGCAACCAAGGCTACAACCAAATGGAAGTATACGGGGATACCAACATTCAAATCACAGGGGTCAATACCGTGCAGCGCCTTACTTACCAAAGCAAACAAAGGACTAGATTTGTAGAAGGTAAGCCACCTACCTTCTAATTTGTATCTCAAGAATACACATGCAAATTAGTTTCGCTCTGGGAAAACAGCCTCATTCTTAAATAACTGGCATAATATATGGATATTGAATAGTGTGAACGGTTATTCGATTGCTTTTAAATAGTTTCCAAATCAGTGGAGGGCCCCGAGGCCTTTAAACTTTCCCCTCAAAAAGAGATAACTCATTGTCAAAGAAATACCCAAGCTTATCGCGAAGCACATTATTGAACCAACCGTACACAACGATGGTGTATACATCTCAAACATTTTTCCTCGCATGAAAAAGATGGGACGGTCCGTATCATCCTACAGTTAAGCTCTCTAAACGAGTTTGTCGAACATCACCATTTTAAAATGGATACTTTAAAACCGGCCATCGTATTGATGAGGGCAGATTGTTTCTTTACCTCAGTAGATTTAAAAGACGCTTAATATTCGATCTCGGTGGCTGAACGAGATAGATACTTTATGACATTTTACTGCGATGATCAATTATACCAGTTCACTTGTCTCTGGAATGGGTTGTCTTGTGCACCACGTGCATTCACAAAAAAATCATGAAATGCGTGTTTTCTACATTACGAAAGTTAACATCCTATGCCATCATATACCGACGTTCTGTTATAGTACTTAAATAATAGTTTTCTACTTTGTTAAGGTTATGAGTTGATAATTCCAGTAAACTGAATAGATTTCAGTCTGTTGTTAGGATCAAGTCGACAGTCGCCGTGAAAAATAATACCGTTACCGAAAAATGGCTTTTTTGCTCGTAAACGTTGTAGAGAACAGCTCGCTTTGGATTTCAACAACGCTATTTTTTAATTGTTTCTGACTAGTTAGATAGAAATCGATTGCGGGTAAAAAAAAACGCATTAAGAAGTGTTGGGTGATGATCAATGTTGACTGTAAATATAATGGTGTAATGGCATCACATAAAGTTGATTTTATGATTACCAAATTACATCATATAACGGGAAAATGGCATAATATAATGTATATTATGACAATGTCGCATCACGGAATATACGAATGTCATCATATAATTATGATAACATATCTTATCACTTTTGTACAAGTGATTGGTAAGAAGTGCATCACGTGTTCAACGATAAAACCGATATTGTCTTGGGGAAAGATTTCTTACATTACTGTTTTGAAATTTTAAAACAGTTGTAGCCTTTTAACCTCGGGTCAGGTATCGACCTCAGCTAAAGTCTATAATTGAATATTATAATTAAACTGTTTAATTTGACAGCCATGACATTTCAACATATGAACAGCTTACTTGAATTTCCCTAAAACTTGGAATTTTGGACAACGATATATACTCACCGTTTAAGCAATATTGAGTCAATTTAAATGATACAAAATGAAATTACAAAAAATTATCTAAATTTATTCTCTGATCTACGTTTTTATGGCTGTCTCGGTTGATAAAAAATATATGGAACATTTTTTATGAAATAAATACCGGTAATTTGTTACATGGTAGACAGATTAAATGGGGAAATACCCTCTGATAATTCGGTGATATTTTCTGGTTTACATTGAAGAGAAAAAAATCCGGAAGTCACTTATTTGTTTTGACACAAAATGTTGTTGATTGATAAATGGATCGGCAGGAAATTGTACGTAATTAATCCTGTTTTAATATTTAAATGTAGATAAAACTACCAACCTTTTAAATTATTAAGTGTCGGCATTGTGAAAATTGGCAATTAGAAGGGATTACAAGTCAACTGTAAAATGCATATCGAATTATTTTAAAAGAAATAGGTAGCTGCTTTTACCTATAATAATATAATGTGGTATGAAACCCGCTGCGTCTCAACTATTTTATACCAAGACTGTGTTTGTTTGTTAGGATGGATGGTTATACGTCCGCTTCACTACTGAGTAATTTGGATCGAACTCAGACGATATTTAGCCGGAAGTTATTTGTTTGTTTGAGTGTTTTACATCGGCTTCACTACCGAGTAATTCGGTTATTTAGCAGACAAAACATTTTCAGATAATCAACACCAGTAAATATACATACAGTTGACGATGACGGTGACCTCACTAGATGTCTGACTCCCGTATTCGTTACTGGCCGTACACCTGTATTCGCCCGTCTGACCACGTTGTATATTGTTTAGATGAAGACCTGACCCTGTTGTGTGGGACTGTCCATTCTTTGTCCATCTGTAGGTACAGACTGGGTAACAGTCAGACGAACACGTGACGGTAGAGATAGTTTGTCTTTCTGTTAAAGTGTAGGATGTAGCTGGTGGTGACAAACCCGCAGCTGATGGACCGTCTAAAATAATAAAATAATCACCATACATATTGTACGAGAAGTCTTTGCTTTTGTCCTATTTAATCATTTTGCGGATATAATCCAATCTCATTCTTCATGGTCAATTTTGTCCACACACAGATGGCCCTCTCTACCTGTTATAGGTGTTCGCTGTTAATCTAAATAGAACAAATCATATTGCTTTTTGACATTTTGAAACCTAAACTGAACTGTTCTGTAACAATATCATTTTTTTGGAAAATTCATTATGTAACGTTTCCCCTGTTTTGTACCAGTCACACTAGATATTCCGGCGATTATACTTACCTCAACGGGGTGGTTCAATATTCTAGTATAGATGCAAATATATACATATAAGTTAATCTAGCTCTACAATATTGCCCTGGTCCGAGCAATCACTACTTGTGATCATGTACGTTTTGTACTAATAAATATATACAGGGGATACATACAAAGCATTGTTAATGTAACAGTAACTGCAAAAAGCCTATGTATAGAACAATAAAAAACCTATTACTAATCTACATTAGCGTTCCTTCCACTGATCGCTCAGAACGTGCTTATATGCAAACACGCGGTCAAACGCTCGCTGACCTCTCACTTCTCGACCACCCTTCATGTTCTCTGGTGATAGCTCGGATAGCTCAGTACGGCATATGTCTCGCTACAATGTTAGCTCGGCAGCACTATATGTACCTATATTGTACAATCTATAGAACTCCTCTTTCTAACCTTGAGTTACCCTGACCATTCGGTGGTCCCTATAACTTCATAGAGCCATCTAACGAGCTCTCACAGTGCCCTTGATCTATTAATGTAGCTGACTCGAAGCAACAGTATAGCTCGCCCTCGTAAGGTATGATACTTTCGATTGAGCGATCGTAGCGCTAACAAACGTTAACTTTCAAATTAAATATTGCTGCCTGTCGGCCATTTTGGTTTCAGTCCCAAAACACGATATGCATAACTAGGGATCATGGGGAACCTTTCAGTACTCTCTGAGAAATAGCGCTAACAAGAATTGTTGAACGGACGGAATGACAGACGGAATGACGGACAGACAACGGACTGCGAACGGAGGGTGATTTGAATAGCCTAACATCTGATGATTGTGGGACACATATACTCATTATCAACGTTATTTAAAAAAAAAAACCACACACATTCAAAATAACGCGAATAACGCTTGTATACGTCTTTACAATGCAGTTTCCCTCAAATATAAACTTAAGTTAATCCCATAAACCAAAACAAATCAAGAAGCCTTCCTTGAATAGCGTATCTCTTATATTATTTTCTTTGACTAAACAATATTAAATGCTGATATAACTTACACATCACAGAAACAAATACACGTGTAGTTAACTCCCCGGCAACATTCCTAGCCGTACATATGTACGTCCCGTGTTCTGATCTGTCCAGTTGTCCCAGTGACAACACATCTGAGGCAGTAAAGTTGCTGTTGTCAGGTTTTGTCCAGACAAAGGTACAGTCAGGTCTACACTCAGCTGTACAGGTGATGTCCGGTAACGTGTCCCCCTCAGTTTTGGTGTAGTAAATGGCCGATGGGGACAGGGTAACAGTACCAGGACCATCTACAATACATTATAAACATTGTGTATTGGACAAGCAAGCCTTCTAACAATGAAGACAATATAAGGTTGTATTTTTTTGGAGCGATTTGCTCTTTTATCAAGACACAGAAAAAAATACACGGAAAAACACAGAACACTTACATTACATATAAACAAAATAGAAATATAATAGGATATATCTAATGTTAAAATTAAAACAATAAACCCCTCGGCTACCAGAGGCAACAGGCAGAACTTACACAGACTGCATCGTTGATGCTATGTGTGTGCAAACAATAACACAGAAATTTTAACATATCGGGAGATTGAAGAGTAAAGAAAGATGCTGAAGCTGGAAGAAATGTCAACGATTTGTCAAGTGAAAGAAATTTCAAATATGGATTTTAATTTCTTGAAATATAATTTATAATAGGTACATATATGTAAATATCTATTCCTGCGAACTATTTATTGAGATTAGGGTAAGGTATTACAGTGTACAACTAAGTGACAAAATAAAGGTCGCACAATGACCTAGATTAATATAATATATCACTCCTGTGCGATGTCGACAGAGATATCTCAACCAGAGGGTGATACTTTTTTTAAGGTTTAGGTAAACCTAAAACAAATATCGCATCCTGAGGGTTGAGATATCTCTGTCTACATCACACATCCCCCCCCCCGTACTCCACTGCGAAGTTGTATTTTTAACCCCAATGCACCGTGCTATCAGCAATGGCGCATTAATTGTGTGTAAAAAAAATCCAAAACGTAAATAAAAAAAATAGCAGATATAATAACATTCAGATATTTAATACATTAAATGGAATTGTTGATAGTAATGTTAAATGTTCCTCCAATGATTGTTGTTCCTTGGAATATACTCGGGAGTTCACATTCATTGGATTTAAGAACGCTTTCAGGTTCGCACAAGGACATGCTGTTGTGCGCTATAGTCACATGTGTAATGTTTGTTGACTGTTCGTTTGACATCGGCCGATGTGAGGTTGGTGCACTAGACCCAGTGTGTCGTCCCAGGTCCGTTTGTACGGTTTCATTTGAGCGATTGGTCATTGAGAGAAGAGACGACATCCTAAGATTTTGTTTATTGTTGACTGTTCTGTAATTGTCCAATACGTGTGTGCACAAGTAATGATGTAATCGGTTTTGATAAAAGTGCACAGGTTCACAGGTCATGATGAAAGAACTGCGTTGTCTGTGACGTAATAGCGCGTGCCAGCTGTCTTGATCGAGGCAGATCAAAACAGGTTAATATTTTCCCTACCAAAAACGGGAATGTACCTGTGAAGTGTGGGAGAAAGTAAGTTGAACTCCAGGCCTAAGTGACGTGACTCTCAACTCTTCTGGTCAGTCACAGTCGTCGAAGTCATGTTCGAGACGGGTTGTTTGCTACAGCTTTTCAGCACTCTGCTCTTCAGCAATATTCGATCGTATACATACATGTATATGTTACTTTCTGTGTTCTGTATGCTTGTCATGAGAGATCACTCTCCAAATATGTATACTTAAATACCGGAATAAACCTGAATTGAATTGAATTGAATGTTGGTTAGTTTACCTGGCGTAATGCTCACTTTAAGCAGAGCGGCCAGAGCGAGGAAAGCTATACCAATACAAATGTATACCTACCCAGCATAGAGATCGAGAGATGTAGCGGGCACTAAAGCCAAAAACAGTAAACGTACGTACCCGTGTATACAATATAAGTGTAATTCATTTAAGTGTCTATTGAATAATATATATAATCAACGTAATATTTTTGTTTATTAGTAAAGTTAATATTTTTAAAGTCTCTGTACATTTATATTTCGGGCGTGGTCAATTTAGTAGACAAGCAATATCTAAGAAGCAAGTTTTTAATATATGTGTGTATTGTTTTATTTATATAGTGTGCACTGTTCTGCCCCGGTCACACATCCAGGGAGCGGACACCGGATTAGCCAAGGATACGATCCGGCATCATTGGTGACAATCTGTACTGGACGGTGCTGTCCGTGTCAAGTGATGTCGTAGTGAAAATCGGAGGTGTTAAATCTGCTTCATTTTGATATTTCCAGACTTTTTTTTTTCTTCAGATTTTTACACTTTTGTTAATCCCAAAGTTATGAACACTTTAGACCCTGAATTTTTAACAACCTCATACAAGTTTTAGTAGAGCCAGTTAGTAAGCTGGTGGCTTCTATTTTAACCCAAATTCTGACCGCTGAGGTCCAGCCCAAGTTAGAAAAAGCGCTAACCGACATTGTCAAAACTGACAATTTAATTGGAAAATGTGCGAACAAAAAGGTCGATACAGTAGTAAACGACAAACTCTCTACCATTTAAAGACAAATCATACTCAACGAAAATGAGATTTAGGTGTGACATGACAAAATTAACCAGCTTCAGACCAGCCGTAACGAGCATGCTGATATCTTAGATGAGCATGAGCAGTATTCCCGGCGTAAAAAAGAAACCGAAAAGTAACAACCACCAAATCATGATCGTTGAAGCCCCCATAAAAAACGCCAAACTGTAGTGAACGAACTCAATAAACTTAGACACGAACAAAAGATGAATTATTTCTGGACACGTGACGGACGGATATTTGCAAAAATATCTCCAGACGACAGAAAGTTTATGGTATCGACATTGAAGGACCATTCCGTACTTTTTCCCGACTACAAATTTGAATCTAAATCAAACAACTAGTTTGAATTGTCAGGATTTCCTGGTAGTATCGAATTATTAAGTAACACTAACTTAATAAGTAAACATATATGCCTGATACATGCTTTGTATGTTAACGGCATTGCGCATGTGCTAAATTCTTGTTTTCATTATCATGCGTATGTTTGTATGTGCCCATGAGGCCCTCTGTGTGCGTGGAGGTGTTCTGAAAAGCATTTATTGATAAAGATATACTCTTAATATTCACGGGCATGTATGCCCTGCCTCGTTGACCTTTATGGAAAATCATTTTTACTCTCTTTTTTACTCATGTAAAATTACCAAAAGATAAGTCGTGTCGAGTATTTGATATGTCACTGTGGAAATTTGCATATGGGGTCAATACGACAGACCATTCTTGCTTCAACTGTTTTGTAATGTGCACGTGTTTATGTTTTGTGAATGTGTTTCTCCGCAAAGAGTAAACCCTTCTACTGCTGTTCGATCATCTCCTTATAACATTTACGGATATAAGTTGGCTTACGAATATAATGAAAAGGAAACTCAGCATATATGAGCTGTTGTGACCTGCCCGGTTGACCTTTTAGAACGTTTAAACTTTATCGCAGGTATGAATCGAGTATTGTATTATATGGCTATGGCACGCGATACTGCTCTGCTGGTCGCTTACTACCTGTTTCCCCCGTTATCTATGCGTCGAATCGCCTATCATAATCGTTTGTGACGGCTGATCCGAACATTTGTCCGACTCCCTGGAAAAAGTACAATTGGAGGAAGCTAGGGTCATCTCCGGTCGTACGACTATTGCCTCATGCGAGGCATTATATTTAGAAACCGGCATGAAACCACTTAAAAGGAGATGGAAAGAGCTGAAACTGTGTACTTTTTATAATATTTACCAAAAACGTGCCCCAGCTTTCTTCGAACACCTTATCCCACCAAGCAGGCGCGATTTAAACAGGGAGTTAATAAACTCAGAAAATTATCAAGCACCCCCGTTGTCGTCTTGTCATTACAATTTTTTGTTTGTTCCGTCGTCTATACTTTTATGGAATAATTTAGATAATGTCATACAATCCGGTGTTTCTCTTCAGACTTTTTAAGAGTAAAATATCTCGTGTACCTCCATCTGTGCCTGATTATCTGCATACTGGAAATCGCTATCTTTCTGTACTACACTGTCGGGTTTTTTTTGCAGTGTTTTGCTGTCAGATTTATCTAGAGTAGGAACATTATTGGCCTTATGGTTTATCAGAGGAACACGTTTTAAGATTTCATACATATTTGACCCCTGTGACCTTGAATTTTAGTCAAGGTCATTCATTTTATCAAAGTTGGTAGCCCAACATCCCAGCATGCTATTAGCCTAATATCATCATCCTGTTACTTTTGGTTATTCAGAAGTTATTGTTTAAAGGGTTTTCTAGACAATTGACCCTTATTACCTTGAATATTAGTGAAGGTCACACTGAGAATCACTTAAGGACGAAAAAATCAATTCTACGACTTA